GTAGTCGCAGTGCGCGTCGTTCCAGTAAGAAGCGCACTGCTGGTTCTACGCGGATTCGACTGCTGGCTGCACGAAGAAGAAATGGGATGACCCTTTAGGGTGACACTGGGATCTTCCGCGAATGATCTCCTGTCGTCATCGCGTGAGAAAAACAAGACGTGAGAGTTGGACGGCAAGAGCGTCCCCCCGACTCCATTTTAACGAAGAACCAGTCTCTGGTGGCAGCGGCATTTCGTGATGAACCGGAGCCTACGGATGAAGACGAGCTCGACAAAATGGCCACATCCACAGGTGTGCGCCCCAATCACCAAAAAGATGTCATTGTGGTACTGTGCGAGGCACTGCGCGAGGCGTTTCTCGAAGACCGTGTGCAACGCCTACTGGTTAGCGGTATGGTGCTTAACTCTGATAGTCTCTGGGCGTCGGCTCCCCGGATTGTCCCCAAGAAGAGTGACGATCTTTGGATGCCAGTCTATTACCGACCGCTTACGCTCTGACAGATACGCTTCTGTGGCCGATGCCCGACTTAGAGTCTGATATAAGCGCAGTGGAAAACAGCGAATACTATTTTGACGCTGATGTGATTCGTTGTTTCGGTCAGCTCCCGCGTCTCGAAAATTCGCAAGATCTACATAATTATCACGAAGTTGGGTATGTTGATGCCGACGAGGGTGCCCATGGGGGCGAGCGACTTAGTGGCATTCTGCCTGCAAACTATGAAGGAGATCATGGGCCCAATATTGTACAAGAGGTTTTAGTGTGGCTCGACGACGTGCTTGAATTTGCCGAGACACCCGAAGATCTCATCAACGTGCTAGAGGCAATTATCAATCACTGTGAACAATAGGGGCAACTGAACGCACGCAAGTGCCACTTTTCCGTGCGGCAGGCAATAGGGTGCGGCAAAGTAATCTCGGCGGCTGGTGTCGCTCATTTTTCTGAGCGGATCCAGGGGTGAGTGGAAATGTCCGCTCCCCAAATCGCCGGGGATAAACAGCAGTTCATATGCGCCGTCGGATGGATGAGGCAGAATATTCCACACTTATCGGCGCTGACGGCAGAGTTCAACAGCATCCTCGACGTGGCCACCACGAGTGTTGGTAGCCTTAAAAAGAAAAAACTTCAGCGCGTTGCGCTAATGTCGATCGGGTGGTCGCAGAAGCACAGGGCACTGTGGAACGTGTCAAAGAAGCTCTTCTTCAAATAATTCTGCTAGCCCATCCGAAGGCAAGTGATGATGTATGCAGATGCCATCTTGCACCTTGGGGTGCAGCTAGGTTGCTCTCCAGCCTGGTCAGCAAGAACTAAAGCCCCTTCATTAGCGGGGTTTCAAGGGCGCACGTTCTCGTTGGGCTATAATTGAAAAAGAAGCCTTCACGATCGTAGAGACCTGCAAGCGGCTCAACTACTTACTGCTGCGATCTGGTGGGTTTACGCTATTCACCGACCGTAGAAACCTGCAGTACATCTTCAACCCCCACTCCGTCAACCCGAAAATTACTCGTTTCCAGGCTGACAAGCTTCATCACTGGGCATCCACACTTGCGTTGTTCAAGTATAAAAAAGAGCATGTTCCAGAGTAAACCAATGTCTGGGGTGATTTGCTGACACGCTGGGGGCAGTTCAAGTGCACCACAGGAGGCGCAACCGATCGCGTTCAAGACGGTTATGGTACTCGAGACAGTGTCCCGTTCGCAATCGGCCGAGTCTGAATGGCTTACACACGATGAACTGCTTCAGGTCCAGCAAGAGGCGATGGCTTGGCGAGATCCTTCCGTGCCGTTGCGTGAGTGTTGCTGGGACGGTGATCAGCGCATTTATCGCGTTGACACTGGACAGATCTGGATTCCTTCAGAGGCAGATGATATGTAGGCTCGCCTGTGCATCGTAGCTCATGCATGATCGTGGTGAGCAAGCAATCAATCAAGCGCTCAAGAGCCAATTCGAAAGGAGCTCACTGGATGCAGATGTGAAGCAACTCCTCAGAACATGTTTGTACTGCAGTGTTGTAGGCGGACAGCCCCCGCATCGGCCTTTTGGACAAGCTTTACACGTGACACGTAAAACAAATGAAATCCTGCATTTTGACTACTATCGCTGCCGACCAGAACTAACGGCACGAAGGACGTTCTCGTTATTTTTATCGGGTTTTGTGGAGCTCGTTGAGTGCAGTGCCGCCACGCCACACGAGACCGCTTATGTCCTCCTTGCGTTGTTCATGAGATTTGGTTTTGTTACGCTCTGTGTGTCTGATCGTGCCGCATACTTCAAGAATGATGTTGTCGAGTGCATACGTAAGTCCGTGGATGGCGCCCATCATTTCGTTACAGCCTACTGCCCTTGGGCAAATGAAACCGTCGGCGTTGTTAATCGACAACTCATACAATGTCTCAAGGCACTTTTGAGTGACATAAAGTTGCCTTAAGGAGAGTGTCCCACTCTTCTCCCAGTCGCCCAGGCCTCTATAAATTATTTCTCCAGATATGCTTGGTGGCCGTTGCACCAGTGGCGGCGTTAACAGTTCTGCCGGCATCGACGGCACTCTCGACGATTCTCTATCCTCGCCAGATCCAACACGCACAGGTGATTCTCACCAAGCAGCGCGCTCATCTGGCTTCGGTTCAGGCATCATTGGCAGAGATGAACCGCCAACACTCGCAACCACTTCACATTGCTAGCCTAGCTCTCAAAAACAGCTGCCGAAGAACAGAGGAGATTATTGAGGGTTGCCGGTTCCTGACGGTATATACCGGTTCCCGAACCTGTCCAACACGATCCCGCGGTGATTATGGTACGTTGATTACGCCACCAGTGATTAGACGAGTAGGATGATTGGACGAGTGCAGAGTGTTGGTGATTGAATGACCCCAATGATTGGATGCAGACTAGGTAGTGAGAACAGTGTAAGCTCCGATAAATCAATCACTTCAGAATCTTCCTTCTTCCCCTCAAGTGGTCTTCGCTCCAGTCTTCTTCTCCGAGTGGTGACTCCTCCCTTCGCTCTCACAAGCCCCTACGTCTTCTAAGATCCGTGACCTCTATCAGAGATTGAGATACTCATAGCAGATATCCGTGAGGTGCTCGTGCCATACCGCATATGGGATCTCCCTCATCACGCATGCTTGCTCAAAGAACTTTATCAACTGAAGGTGGATCATCTCCCTTCAGTTGTGGGTATCGTTGCTTGTGGACTGGTATGCTCTCCCTCTTGGCAGGAATCGAGAAAAAAAAGTGGGCGATCATTTCCTCATCCGTGTCCTTCCAAGCTTCTCTTGGTGGGCATTGTTGTCGTGCTCTCATGCTTGAACGACAGCTCCGTAAATTTCTTCCTAGGTCATTATGTCTGTTGGATGAGCTGTGGGCTCGGTGTTCGTGTCGTCTTGGTTTTCGGTGGCGATCCGCTTTCTTCTGCGTCCTTGTGAACCTGCAACTCCCTTCGGCCCCGCCGCTGTGGCTGCGGTGTCCACCTCCTCAAAGTGTCCGGTTTATCTCCCATGTAAGCCTTCTTGATTTGAGGTACACTTTGTACTCCCAACGCCTCCAGCAGATGTACTAATCTGTCGAGGCTTCGTGCGTCGCTTGGCTAAATTGAAAGTGCTGGCTCCAAAGACTAGGTTTGGGCCTCAATGCCAAAATGGAGCAAGCCAAGAATGGGTACATTTCATGTGCTCCACACAATATCCTATTCCGTCGCAGATATGAATTAGAATAGGTTTGCTTCTGACTGGCGCGAATTCCGCCTTCTCTGCTCACTCATACATTCTCTCAGTCAAGCGCAGGTGGAGTTTCAAATACAGAATCATGTCAGGAACGCGCGTGTACGTTGGCAACTTGCCCATGGACATCCGCACACGCGAGGTAGAAGATATTTTCTACAAGTACGGACGCATCCGCGACATCGACGTCAAGTTCCCGTCTCGTCCGCCGGCTTTTGCCTTCGTGGACTTCGAGGACGCGCGTGACGCCGAAGACGCCATCCGTGGCCGCGACGGCTACGATTACGACGGCGCGCGGCTGCGCGTCGAGCCTGCCAATGGTGGTCGCCGCGAATCGACCCGTGACCGTGGGTCAGCCCGATACCCGCGCAACATCCGCGGAAACGGCGAGTTTACAGTGGAAGTATCGAACCTGCCGCCGCGCGTGTCGTGGCAAGACCTCAAGGACTTTATGCGCAAGGCCGGCGATGTGACTTTCACGGAGGTGGACGGACGTGGAGGCGGCGTCGTAGAGTACAGCAACAAGCGCGACATGAAGTACGCGGTGGAGAAGTTGGACGACTCGGAATTCCGCGGCCGCACCGAGAATTCGTACGTGCGTGTGCGCGAGACAGGTGGACGCGGACGCAGCAAAAGCCGCAGCAAAAGCCGAAGCAGGTCGCGTAGTCGCAGTGCGCGTCGTTCCAGTAAGAAGCGCAGTCGCAGTCGCAGCGAGGATGCGGAGGGCGAGAAGAAGGCCAAGCGCAGCGCATCGGCGGATAAGGAGAGTGAGAAGGAGAAAGAGGGGGATGATAAGAAGCAGGAAGATGGTAAGAACCAGGAAGCAGCTAGTGCTAATGACGTTGAGAAGAACGTGGAGACGGAGAAGGAGCCTAAGGAAGAGCCCAAGACGGAACAGGAGCCTAAAACGGAAGAGGATCCCACTGCGGAGCCCGAGAAGGAGGCAGCTAAGGAGGAGTAGAGCGGCGCAACGGACGAGGAACGGACGGAATGCTGACACAGTTTGAGAACACAATCGGACGGACCGAGGGACGAGTACTCGCCGCGGAACAGCCTGGGATTTGCCTAGGGCGTGTGCGTGCGTGAGTCTGGTTGCTGCTGCGATAGTCGGTGTTCTCTTACCGTGTGCCTTGTGTGCCCCCATGTTCTTGTTTGTTTCACATGGCCCGAGATCATGTGCATTGTGCGTTTGATTTTTTTTCTACATTGTTCCACTGGCTGACGGGACGACCTGGCTTTCGACTCGGCGCGCGTTGCTGGATTAACGGAGCGGGCTGCGAAGCGAAGGATGACGGCGGCTACGGATCGGACGGACAGAGAGGTGCAGGATGGTTGTCGTTGTGTTAGCTTAATGCTCCCCTACCAGGTTGAGCGATAAGAGAAAGAATCAAATTCATTTTTGCAGGTTACAAACTGCTCTACAAGTGTCTTCAATCGCGTCTAAGAACAATAGGGAGCTGGATCGGAGACTTCGCGCGCGCAACGCCTTCGAGACCCTCGCCATTGTACGACAGAGTCGGTAGAATCTCACAGACTGCGTCGGACGAGCTGTCCGCGAAGGTCGCACCTGCGTCCACCAGCCAGCGCTTACACTGCTCCGAAATGAGTTGACGCGCAGAGTCCGGAGAGTCCGAGGCGCTCCCCGGCGCGTTCTTGACAGGAGCGAATTCATCTTCACGAGCCACACCCAGCACCTTCATGCTTTTGGACAGTGGGAAGACGTCAAAGATGAAAGTCTCGAGCTTGATGCCTGTGTTGCTCGTCGGAGTGATCGTAGCCGTGCCCTCGTCATTCACGTACGGGATTTTCTTCTTAGCTACGTGATATATAGCGTCGTTCTGGTTGCAGCAGCGCTGGAGGAAGTCGAGACGGAAGAAGTGGTTGCAAATGTTGGCAGCACCGAAGCTGAGCTTGCCGGTATGAGGATCCACCTGCTCTGACGCAGCACGATCAAGCTCTGAATACTCCACCACACAGTAAGCTCCATTGCGCTTGGCCACGACACCCACACTCTCGTCGGGACGAGTCTTCCACACCACTTTGTTGGCGCAGTCGGCGTCCTGGTCGATGCAGTAGCCGATAAACACTGGGTCTGCCACCTTGCAGAGCACATTATCCACCGAAAACACGTGCAGATATTGCACATTGCGCGCAGTAAGGAGATCAAGCATTCCACTGCGCTTTAAAGCTGGGTAAATACCGCCGTTTCCGTCCGAAGCCTTTGCCAACTGACTCGCTGTCTCGAGAATGAACTTGCCGTCGTCCGTAAAACACGGTAGTGTTCCCTGGCGGAAGAAATGAAGCTGATCCTGTGAGAGACCGAAATATTTGTTGTCACGGAAGAAGGACACGGTTGTATCGTGGTTCATCTCGCTGGTCATGATAAGCAGCGGGATTTTAGGTGATTCGCTTAGATTGAAGCGAGTCTGTGCCAGCTCCTGCACCTTTAGAACCCGCAACGCGAAGATCTCAAAGAGCGACTTTCCGGATGGGAGGCCGATATCGTACATGCCCTTGGGGCCAGCGAAGCCTAGACGCGTGCCTTGCCCTCCGCTGAGTATCAAAGCACCTGTCATGCCTTTCGAAACAGCCTCAAGACCCAGGTCGAGCCATTTCTTCTTCAATTCTGGTGCAGTCTCAGTCAGCTGATGCACCACTCCTTCTTCTAGTGGTGTCACTTCATCAGCTGCCGCACTCGCCACGCTGTCAGCCTTGGTCGATCGATCGAACAGATTCGCAATCTGGTGTGGCTCATACTGTTGGAGACTTTCCACTAGTACAGATGCATCCTGCGCAGTGACCTTGCCGGCATCGACAAAACGGAAGACATGACCCTGGCCCGCATTTTCATACGATTTTCGAAGCGAAGCTGGAATGGAGTCGGCGCTCGCCATTGAGTTAGAGCTTTCCATTTCGCGCGAGGAAGGCCACGTGTCAAAGTATCCAATTTGGAATGGATAAACCCATATTTTGGATGGATTAAATCAATTTAATCCAGTTTAAAAATAAAAACTGGGTTGAACCATGTGAAGTTACAATAATTTTGAATTTACTTACAGAATTGAAAAAAATACATTTTAATTTTAAATGGTGATTTATATCTGGTAACGGGCCCATAATTGAAAATATATGGCGACCCAAAATATTCCCTTAGTGGATGGAGTATGGAAGTTTATTCTTTCTGTAAGTAGTCCTTGTCAAAACTGGACAGGAACCATTTACAAGCTGCTGCTAGGACTGTAGCAATACCAACAATACACTAGAAGGAAATTTCAGAGCTTCCCTTGTAAAATACGGCATTAGTGTTATTTTTTTTTTCTGAATAGGTTGATTCTGAGTCTCTGTACTGGCATACATGTACTGTTCTGACGTACTCAATTGATGACATGCCAACAGAGCTAAAGGTAGATGCTCGATTTACAGGAAACGCTAGCGGTCAACAGCTCTTCGTACGTTGGTGTTAATTTTGAGTTGCTCCAAAGGTGAGGGAAGTTATTGGCTTCGATCACTAATCACTACATGTTTCACTTTCATCACTGTGAACCTTTACGCCGAAAAAGCGTACGTTTTCAAATTGAAATTTCACAGCAAATTGTTTGTGACTGCTAACAGTAAACCGCTTTCGAGTGCTTCGTTCATTAATAATCGAAACCGAATCACTAAGAGGTATTAGTCAGGGTAGTATTTCATAATATGTTAGCTTCGAATCCGCGGTCTTGTATCTCACCATTTTCCGCTACCAATAGGTCCCACCGCTTACGTTGTTTATCTGTCGACCATTACTGCACAAGGTCTTTTCTCCAGCTCGATTTATGGAGAGAGCTCTGGGAGTGTATTTGAAGTGACTGGATTGATCAACATCCTAAGAGTTTCATGTAGTCGAGCAACACATACTCCGAAGTATATGGCATATACTCTGTACGCCCAGTTACAACTTTACTGATGTAACCACGCGAATTTGAAGCTGAAGTCTGCGCCTGTACCATCAAACACAACGTGCGATCAGCATTATCCCATAGGAACAAAAAGTATCATGGCGAAAATGCAGACCGAGGTGAACCAAAGAAATCTGCATGGCATAGATAAATGTGACAATCAACTTGTTCTGAATGTTTGGTGCTTGCCTCTCCAATACAAAGCAAGCTGCTGCCATGACGAGAAACCCAATGTGCGCTTCAGCACAACGATTACCACGACCAGAGACGTAAGTCCAAGCAATGCGTAGACAAGTACATTTAGAATGGACAACAGGAGTTGAGAACTTGAACGCTACGCTAACTCAGGGTAGTACGAACCGTTGTGCATGAAAGATAGCACAATATCGTGCATACCTAGCGCACACAATCGATTGAATTCGTAAGTATCGTCACAACAATCAGAACGTCATTGGGATCGTACTGTGAATAATCGGCAGCATGACTTCGATGCACTCCAGCAACACGATGCACTCGGTAATAAACAGTATACGTGAAACCTTGTCAATGAAGAGTACACGGTCTGCAAGAGAGAATATGGCTGCGATATCGATCTCTGGTTCGCTTAGCGTGCAGCAACCAGGTGGGGACCCGGTTTCGATGAATTTTGATTATCAGGCGTGAATACTGGAACCACTTGCGCACATGGAAACGGCACTCCTTTCACATATTTTTTATTCCTGACTCGGACAGTATCCGTGCAAATGGGGCCCCTCTTGGTGTCATCTGTATGTTCACTCGTTAATGTGGAAAACAGGCTCGATGTTTTTCTGTAGCTCTATTGATATTTTGTCTGGTTTTCCCATTAAATGCTAGAACTCTTAATCCAACTTGCAGACAATTTTCGCTTGCAATGGGATGATCGTGGGGAATTTTGTCCATGAGCGCTTTCACGTCGGCTGTTGATCAACCCAGTCACTTCAAATACACTCCCAGAGCTCTCTCCATAAATCGAGCTGGAGAAAAGACCTTGTACAATAATGGTCGACAGATAAACAACGTAAGCGGTGGGACCTATTGGTAGCGGAAAATGGTGAGATACAAGACCGCGGATTCGAAGCTAACATATTATGAAATACTACCCTGACTAATACTCTCTTAGTGATTCGGTTTCGATTATTAATGAACGAAGCACTCGAAAGCGGTTTACTGTTAGCGTAGTCACAAAAAATTGTTGTGAAATTTCAATTTGAAGACGTTAGCTTTTTCGGCGTAAATGTTCACAATGAGAAAGTGATACATGTAGTGATTAGTGATCGAGTTGGTTCCCACATCAGGAACACTTCACTTGCTGCTAGAAAGAAAATACCAGCAAATGACTCGCGGCGGAAGGCCCACTTTGTTAAGCACGACCATCACATCCACCAATGATAACCAAAACTGAGCAAGATCCAGTGTCATAACTACAGCAGTTGAAGACACTAGCGTCGCCTTCTGAAGAGCATTTAAGACGTAGAGCGCATGAAACACTTCCACGGTGACGATGACAGCCTCGGGTTTCATATCGTCACGGGTATTAAGTGTTCGAGTAATCCGGTTTTTCGCGAAAAGCCTGACAACTGGTAGTACCACGACAAATATCACTTGAGCAATGCCAGTCAGAGAGATGAATGTGTAGTGGATAGATGAGAGTGAGAGATACTTGACAGTTAAGAACATCCACCTGCTGCTGGACTTCGCTCCATAGAGATGGATCTGCTCTCCAACGTGGAGCAACAATGTAGGCAAAATACGCAGCGATTACCCAAGTGTCCGGTGGTCCAAAAACCAGCAAACCAAACGGCAGTGGGAAAACAGTCAGCACAGATATGGCAAACACGACCGCATTTGATACAGCAGCGGCAAACATTCCAACACAAGCAATATGACGAAAACTCAACTGGAGACGCGGTAATACACTGATTCATGTGTACGAGCACAGATCCGCCAATGTAAATTTGCAACTGAATACTCAATTTAGTTGCAATTTTTTTTTACTTTCCGTGCTCAAGTATCGGCTCAATAATACCTTTGGTCTGTACAATGAGTGTATATTGCAAGCTTGATGACTGCGGCTTACAGTTTGGCATTACCGCTGCGCAGTCTGCATCAAGGTTTGCACAAAGAAACATCGTAGTGCAGCTCAATTAGTGCCTCATACCCAAGGAGACAGAAGGGTTAACCTCTCTGCAAAAGCAAAGCAAAACGTGGCTCCTTGCTTACTCTTGAAGCAGCTTATCCAGTCGAATCTTCGTGATCTTACTCTGCTCGGCTGCAGCCACCGCGAGTTCGTCTCCAGGGCTGTTATCCATTCGGGACTCCAAAATACGAAGCATCTCGGGAGCTGACTTCCCCGTCGCGCACACGATATAGATGTATCTGTGACAGCCACGGGTCTCGAATCATTTTCCAATAGCTTAACAAGTAGCCAGTACAACCACGTACCCGAACTTCTTGTAGTATTCATCGTTGAGCTCCTCTAACCGATCCAGCACTGCGTCATCCGCGTTCTTCGTCGCCTATATCGTTCATCAGTATAAGTGCTTTGCCAGTCACTACGTCTCCAGTTACTGCGACAACCTTTTGCTCCTGCGCTTCCCATTCCTTAATCGGCTTCTTCGTCCTCCCAATCTGCAACACGGAATGCCAACTGAAAGATCAGGCTCAAACTTGACAGCTAGCAACAATTTATCTAACATAAACCACCGCTAAACGGACCCTTGGATGCGCTGCAAACGCTTCGAGCCAATCCTCCCTGGTCAACGTGGCGTCCGCTGTATCCGCCGCTTGACAGAGCTCCGCGAAGTCTCGCACGGGGAACATTTTAACCATTTCTGCCGCCCACCGCTTGGACCCACAGCAATGGAGCAGTTTCTGTCGGAACGGTGAGCCTTCTTCGTCGGCACCGTCAGCCGCAGCCACGTTGAGCACGGAGAGGTCCATAGTGTTCTTAGAAGCAGATGAACCCTGAAAATAAGACCTAATCAGATGCGACGGGTTTTGTACTGATTTTCTCAACATTTTTTGTTTTCTTTCGCAACTAGTTTTGAACACTTTCTCTCCTAATTCTACGCTTTCTTCGCTTTGGGCACGGAGTATCCGGCGGAGGGCGGTTCGCGATACGATCCGCAGAGACGGTCCCAGAACGTGAAGTACTGGCCGTAATTGTAGACGAACAGTTCATGGTGCACCGAGTGGTGCATCGCTCCATTGATAATTGTGTTTTGAGAGAGGTAGAACCCATCGTGGATACTGATAGTCCAGAAGTTGACAGCGACAAACAGCGCAAGGTAGAGCCCGCGGTGGATGGGGAAAAGCATGATGTAGAAATGGTAAGGTAAGCTCTGGATGTAGCCGTCCATCGGGTGGAAGGCGTGAGACGCAAACGGCGAACAGATAATCCACTTGTGGTGTGGCTTGTGAAGCGTTGCGTAGATGAGAGGGTGATGCAACCAGCGGTGGAACCAGTAAATCAGCATATCCGAGAAGAAGATGAAGGTGATTACGGTTTGAGCCTCGAACCAGTAGCCGAACTTGCCGAATTCCGCATAAGTCTTAGCGTAACCGCGAACGTCAGCGAGGAACCATGGGAATGCTAGCAATACCATAACGGGGATCGACTTTATAGAGGCTAAGATCTCGTAGCGTACTTGGTTTTTCATAAATTTTGGGTGGTTCATCAACTTCTTGTCGAACAGGAACTCGTACGCGCACCCAGCGCCAATAAAATAGAGCAGGTATGCGCCCACCACGGTGAGTCCTGAAATCGACGCAATCTGGCGATAGATATCGTCACGAGGCAAATTCGCGGGATACAACGCGTCTAGCACGTAGTAGTCGGCGTACTCCAAGATAAGATCCATGGCTGAAGATTGTCAACCGAGAAAAATACGAAATAACGGAGACTTTTGCTCATTGCTGGCCTCACCTCGATGCCTGCCGAGCTGACGCCATGCTTACGCTGAAATTGGCGTGTCCTGATTACATGCATACATGCTTACGCTGAAATTGGCGAGCCCTGATTACAGGCTTGGATACATTTAAAGAAAACGGAATATTTCGTTAAATTATGTCAATAGTCAGATTAGCATTTTTCGTGTTTTTGAGCTTACGCTAAATTTCGGTGCTCAACATTTATCTTAAAGTTTGTAAGGCGATCTGCAACTTTTGCGTAACTCTCCGCCATGGCGGTGGAGACCCGTGTGCTCGCTCTGCTGGTGCCAGTCTACCCGGACATGCGCTCTTCCTCTCATCATATCTCCCCAAAGCTACAACGTACCGCTGACGACTGGCTCAAACTCGTGTTCTCCACGTCGGACGGCATTGTGGAGAAAGAAGCTGCGTGCATCAATCGCCACGACGGCTGTCGCTGTGATTACGTGCGACTACTGAGAGCGATGATGTTGCTGAGCGAAAAGGAAACTCTAATCGTTTCCTTTGTGGCAACCAATTGACAATAAATTGGTTGCCACATTGGAAATGGATGTGCAAGTGCACCGCCACGCCGATATTAGCGAATCTCTGAAAGATTTCCAGTTGGTGTTCTGCCATTTGCAAATGGAAGGCGCCAGACGAAGTGAAAAATCGAAAGAAAGAAAAAAAACAGCCTGGAAATCGGCACTTTTGGATGCAACATGCAGTTCGTGCCACGTTGTGGGTTGCCGACTGCATTCGTGGGAGGCCGACGACATCCTAGGACCCAAGACGAAACAGCATATTTTTTCCCGACGTGTTTCAGAGTCTCATGACGCACATGGAAGTGGAACAATTCGAGATTCGAGATGACGTAACATTTGTAACTCCAACGGCAATAAGGATAAACCGCCACAAATCACATATTTGCCTAGAAACGCGATGCACGTTGTAGTGTGCATGATGGAAGCCAAAGAGTTGGCAGCATTGAGTGGCCAATGCACACGAAATGTGCGTGCACGTGTGGATAATAAGGCTGATAATGCGTTAGACACCAGTCTTCGTTCGGTACCAGCAGAGAACCTTGCGAGCTCTGGTGCGTCACTGATCGTCGTGCGAGATCCACTGGTTGAACGCTGGAAATATCAAATTGAAGCTCATGTGTCACAAAAGGCACTGAGATCCTTTATTGACGAGACTACTGAAGACCTTCCAAGCAATTTCGAGTTAGCTGCCTATGATGTGGTAGTCACGTCGTTTAGTCGGTTGGCGAAAGAGTGGAAGCTGCACAGACCTGCGTCTGAACTGGAAAAGCGAATGCCTGAGCGATATGGCTTTGAAGATACGCAACGATATACTGACGGCACAACAAGAGGGGAAGTGTCTTCTCTTTTAACTGTTCACTGGGTACGAGTTATCGTTGACGAAGGCCACAAATTAGGTGGACAGACTCCAACAAACCTGATGCGAATGGCGAGAAATTTATTTGCAGAACGAAGGTGGGTCATGACAGGAACGCCAACACCAAACACACTCCAGTCAGCCGATCTACGGTTTATGCATGGTCTGTTAGTTTTTCTCCGCAACAAACCGTACGGTCAACCGGATGGACGCGCGTGGACAAAAGCGATCGCTTGGCCATTTGAGAAAAACGAACCCATTGGTCCCTATAGCTTGCAGAGTTTACTCAGGCGAATAATGATGCGCCATACGAAACAATCCATTCGGGATATATTACCGGAACCGATTCGACACACGGTTTATATCGAGTGAATACGCGCAATACAATGTGGTTGCTGCTGCAGTGCGTGCAAATTTGGTGATCACAAATCTGGACCCTCATGTACCGGGGAACCAACATCTGGATAGTCTGCTGAACCCGATCAACCGGAAAGACGCTCTACAAGTGGTTTCTAACCTGCGGTTTGCGTGTTGTGGTGGCGTTAATAGTGCTGCCGAATAAAGCTCGCGTGGAGACAATTATTAATAATATGCATACAGAGTGTGGATAGCGATAATGTTGCTACTGTTGCGGAGTATTTGAGACGCGTGACGTTACCAGGGATGTCGACGAAGTGCGATAGTTGCAAGCGCAAGTTGCAACTGCTGATGATAATACCGTGCGGTCATCTCTGCTGTGCAGATTGCGTCGAAGATCGGTATATTGAAGTTGGTCCAAGCTGTTTCCGGTGCCATGAAGTGTTCGATCCTGAAGTTTTCCAGGAACTACAATCAGGTTTCGAATTTCGCGAAATCGGCGATGAAAATGATAAACACACACACACACACACACACACACACACACACACACACACACACAAAATACTACCCGAGATCGTGGAAGGCAGCAAACAGAAAAACGCAGTTGCAATGATCGCAACCAGAATGCGAGACGGGCTTCAAATAATATTTTACAGAACCCGAATCAGCCGAATCGACAAAATTGAACGGTGGACGGCAGCAAGATTTTTTACGCTGCAACAAGAATCCGTGAACTGAAGAAAGAGTTTGCTCGTCGTGCCAGTCAACGAGGGACTCAATCTCGACGAGCACGCTACGTGAAGGTCATTATTTTCTCTCAATTTACTGAGATGATCAGGCGTACAAAACTTGCATTCCAGCAGCAAGATATCTCCACTGCAGATTTCATCACTCGTGTCAGTCCAAAGACGCGCATGAGGGCCTTGGAACGCTTCCGTACAGATCCTCGTTAAACGTGCTCTTGTTGTCTGAAATGGGGTCACACGGATTGGATATTTCATTCGTGACGCATGTGTTTTTGATGGAAGAGATCTGGGATAAATCACAGGTTATTTATTAGCCGAGCTCATCGAATGGGGGCACAACAGGCTGTGGTGGTGGAGCAGCTTTGGATGAAAGGAAGTGTGGAAAGCGAGATGGCCAAGGTGAACGAACCAGACGAGAATGACGTTGATCCACCTCGTATAGTCCATGATCCAGGTCCTCCTGCTCGAACACGAAAGCGTAGGCGCAGTGGAGGGAGTGCGTTGCTTAATGTGGCTGGAAAGAAGAAGTGGAAACGCAATCGAGGTGACGCTAAGAGAGTGCCTACTGGAAACAAGAGCAGTTATCTTCAGCGCAAGCTCGACTACGTCCTAAATCACTTGCGGTTGCTTGAAAGCAATGTTGTAGCTGAATCTCGACAAGTTCGTTTCGTCGTTGTGGACGAAGAGAGCGGAGCCACAAATCGCCAGGCGATTCACACGATACCAAACTCGGAAGCTCCAGTGACCACATCTTCTTCAGCTTCTTGTCAACCTCGCAATCGACCTTTGGAGGTTTTCTTCAACGCCGATCGAACTACGACTACAACAGCAGATGCTGTGCTTGCATCTCGGTCGATAGGAATCAGTGGAGCCAACAGCAGATCGGCTCTGCGACGACATCCAATCATCAGCTTAAGCATTCAAGGAAGCAACGACAACCTATTCTGCTTGGCAAGTCTAATGCTAAAGCTGTAACGGAGCGTGAGAAACGAACTCCTCAGCCACCGCCAACAGCAGATACGAGGAAATCTGCGAACGTGGGTGCAGCTAATGTATTGTGTAATATTACAGCAATATCCAAGACAACTACCTCTTGGGTGGAAAACTTTCTCGCGTCCACGTTTTTTTTTTGCCTACGAGCATTTGAACGGCTGAATTCGTCCTCGCCCTTGCACCTCACTCTTCAGCAGTTCCAGCATGTTGATGGTGGCGTTCACGTCTCGGTCCCAGTACCTCGCCTGGCAGATCTTGTTCTCACAGAGAAGCACGACGCGGCAGTGGCGTGACTGGATCCCAGCCTGGGACCAATCACGTGGAAGGACTTTGCCCTTGACCTTCTTTCTCTTGGGCTTGTCGCCGTTTTTGGGGAAGACTGGAGTAGGGTACTGGACGCTCGAAAGCGACTGGCGGCACTGCGAACAGAGCTTGCTCGTCTGAACTCGTCCATGGAAACCACCGTCGCGCGCTTCCGCAGTGCCTCTTTCAACCTCTTGACCGGGCTCGGAGCGTGGCCCTTGATGCCATCTCTCCGGCTCCAGTCACCGTAGGCTACACATGAGAGCCTACTCACAGTCGGTACGATCCGCCTAGCAAGCGTATCCACTGCAACCCGAGCCATACGCTTCTGGAAGAAGCGCCACTTCAGGTATGGTCGATCTTTCCAAAACTGTACGAGGTACGTCGCGTGTTGCCAAAAGTACTCGAGCCGCTTCAGGTACTGTTCATAGCTCGCTGTCTTGAATGAAGGCATACCGTCGAACACCTTCTTGTACTCGGGAAACTTCCTCTTTTGGCTCTTGTTCCAAGCGCGGAAGCGGTTGAACCCGGCAAGATGCCTGTACTCGCGAGTGGTGACGCTGACGATCTCTCTGCCTGGACGCTGCCCTAGGCGTAAAGCCTTTGGTCGACGAATCCACTTGGGGAAGTTGCGCTTGCGTTTCTTGTTCTTCTTCTTCTGTCGTCTAGGACGACGGACCCTTCTCTGCTTGGGTCGACGAGGAGCCTGAGGTCGAAGGTATTGGCGAGCTGCTGTACACACCGACCGCATGCCGGGATCGAGGCCGATGACTACGTCAGGCAGATAGCCAGCTGAAACGAGAAGATCGTCTTCTCCACGCTTCGGCTCATCTTTCTTCGGTCGGTAGTACAGGATTGACGCATTGTATCCATCGGTCTTAATCTCGTTGGCAAAGAGATGGCTGGCGTAGTTGTACTTCGCTTCGACTGTCATCTGCCGGAACTCTGGCTTCGTCACAGATTCATCCGCTACAGTCTCGAAGCGATCCATCGCAAACGCTCGTCACATGAGAGTCCATCGGATAGCACCAAAGGATGATCTAGAAATCTTCACTTGAGGCATGTTCCAGTCTTCCATTAGGTTTCCTTCTCCACGTTCGCGGATGCGGGGCCCGAATCCTGCCAGCGTCGTTTCATTGATCACGATGTGAGCAGTTCTGAAAGCCGTAGACACTGGAAACAACGAGAACGCTCTCACCCCTTTCTCGTTTGGAACGGCCTCCATACGAGCCTCCACGACGCTTTGGAACTCCCATATCAGCCGAATGTAGAACGCCAGGCCATTGTTCTTGATATTACTGGCCAAGGATTCCACTTCTCGCTCCCCTCCCCTCCATCCGGGGTGAGCACGTCTCGCATCTGCAGCGCTTCGAGACAGTCAGCCTCCTCTACGTTGTAGCAAGCATACATGATCTGCCTGACGAGCTTTTTTGCTGGCCTTCTCTTCGGCTGGGCTCAGGTCGTCCCGACTTCCCGAACTTGATCAGTACATACACCCTCAACCGCTTCCGAAACTGTTCTCGAATCATCACGCCAGCGTTGACCACTAGTTGCTCTCGCAAAGCCTGTTTCAACTCTGAGAAACCAGTCATATTTGCGACTTTGCGCAATCCGGCCTGACTTCGACCAACACGGTAGATTTGAATGCTGTCCCAGAGAGAGAACGATTTTTTGTGGCGATCATGTGCGACATACGTGTGGAGGCCACACCCGCGCAGCAATGGTCGAAATTTTTTTTGCCATAGCCTGGCAATGGAAGATCGTGCTCGAGGCAGCGCAGTGTGTGGAGATTGACGAGGTGCTACGTCTCCATCTGGATCTGCTTCATGGCTGCACTTGATCTCCTTCACAAGACGGTTGTCTGCGCAAACCCTGTTCAGCCGACAGACAACAGATCGAAGCACTTTGCCTTTCTTGTACTCCTTCTCGCGAAGAGTACCAGCCGTCTTCGTTCTCGTTGCCTTTGGTACTACTTCTTCCATCTCTTTGTCACTGTCCGCCCCCTTCATTTCCTCCTCCCCGTCTGGTTCCTGCGTCTCGGCTACGATCTCGATGGGAGAAGGGCTCCCGAATATGGCATTAATCTCATTTTTTTTTAACTACCCATGCATAATGCTTATACAAACTAAACCAGTCGACCATGCATTATTGCCATTAATGGGATTAACGGGGAATTGATCTTTGATCAAATTAGTCGAGGCATTGAAGAATAGTTTCAGCATCCCAGTAACACTCGTTAACTCTCGGAAATAACACCATTTCCAGCGCGATGGCCAACAAAGAGTGCCGATCAAGACCGTAAGTCGTGCGAGCAACGCTAAACAAACGTTCAGCAAGGTTGGATGCGGGAGGGATCGCTTGGACAAGCTTGTACGCGTTTTTTCGCTGACTCCAGTCGAGCTTTTTTATGGACTGATGCTGCGAAACCTTGTTGCGACGATCCTTGCAGATTCACTTTGTTCTGGGGCTCTCGCAGGAAACGTTGGTAAGCCGCTTTCTCCTGGCGGCTCGTAAGGTTCTGTTTGTCCGACTGAGTTTTGACGCAGGCTGACTCAAAGTCAGGGCTGGCGACGATTGATCCTGAGCTAACCTTTTGTTCAGGGAGCAATTATCGCTGACCAGGAAAGCAACCTGGTCAATTGCCTTGCCAAAAACGCACAGTATCAGTATCATCGCGTCTCGATGCGCTTCAGCATTGTGCTGTATGACAGCAGTTTCAGAGTCCTCCTCAGGTGGCTCTAGAACCGGAGCCATGGCGAGTAGTGGACGGCCATGATGGCAAAATTCACAATGAATCGCTTAAATGAAGGAAGGTCCAGCAGACTAGTTAGTAGACGAAGTAAGGAGAGTTTGTGGTTGGCGTTGATAGTGCTAGTAAAAAGGTCAAGTTTTTACACATTAATAATTCTTACGTAAAAAAATGTTGTCAAACATTATGCATTTATAAAGTCGATGTGGCTCCCATACATAATGGGAGCCAATTTATGTACATTAATGTATGCCATTATGCATTATTCGGGAGCCCTGCTCACATGTGCTACAGGGTTTAGGTCGCTCGCGTCCGCGCGCTCCTTCATCCACTCTTGTACTCAAGTCCATCATAAGTTATCCAGGTATTGTGCCTTTCCAAAGTTTTGGCCAATCTGACGTTTAAAGGCTATTCCTAACCAAGGGTGGGTAGGGCTAATGGTGGGATTTGAGGACGAACTGGAGTTGAATTGCTAAGTCAGGCCAATAAATAAAATGATATTTGACCAATAACACTGTTTGATTTTGCCGACTATGATCCAATAATACTTGATTGTATTGGTCTAAAGGGTACCTTTTAACAAATTAAGGGCTGAATGGCCAGTATTTGCCGGCCATTTACTCTTACGTAAGGTATCCACAACAGATTGATTTTAAATCAAATATGGGCTACTCATCAGACATACGCTGACGTGGCATTGTCTTGCAGTATGTCTACAATATTGAGATCAGCGTAGTTGCCGGTACTGGGCGTCTCGGCCAGAAGCCTTCGGAGATGGTACCATCTCTTCAAGACAACAGGAAATGTCGATGACACCCCAAAGAATGAGCGGTCACCTAAATGGCCGATTGAAGTGCAACAATTTGTTCGCGAGTATGTAAAGCAACACCTTTTTTCTTTGATTGGCATCGTCTTTTTATTCGTCAAAATGTTAGGCTAAATTTTAGTCGGAAGCACCCGATCAGATAGGAGGTCTTCCGTAAGGGCCACACTCCTACGTAGGACCATAAAACTGAAGGCGTTTTGGCAGAAAGACACAATAATGAGGTGCTACATCGCAAGACCATAATTTATGCTTGGTAATCATACTACATGCAAATTCATGGGTTGTCGACGGTAACAGGAATAAAAAATGGCAACTTCGAAAAATCATGTTTTATGTTGAGAAGTCACCTTGCACGTCGGCGAGAAAATATAAAGCTTTTGAAATTGTTTTTTGAGGGAATACAATTCGGCGAATGGAGGCCCGGCAGCGTTTACATATACGAAATGGGTTCGTACACGTGGGTCTTCTTCGCAGCACCTTCACCACTGGTCAGGTCAAGCTCAACATTCACGCAGAACAAGGGGCTGTTGCTGTCATCGTCGCTTGTCAGCTGGATCTCGTAGTTGCCAGCAGGCGCAATGATCGGCAGGTTCACGTCCACCTTCAAGTCCGAAAACTTGCCCTTCTTCATGGGGCAGGCGAAGCCGTGCACATCGATGTGGCCCAAGCCAAGCGGAAGAGGGACGTGCGTGTCGCCGCAGAGCTTACCCGAGTGTCCAAACACCTGCGTACCAGCCAGCTTTACGCCCAACTTGAAGTTCGCGGACGCAAAATCCCGCTTCGCGTTACCATTGCCAAAGAACGAAACCGGCTGGCCACGCTGAGGTGACGACGGAGTCACTTCCAGGTCCGAGAAGTCAATGATCGCGCTGCCAACATCGCCACACTGTGTGATCTTCGCCGAGGAGAACAGATCAGCCAAGTTCATGGGACGGAAGTCGCGTTCTTCAGCAGGGAACGACTCCACGGGATTATCGGCAGGGACTGATCTTGGCTCCTCCACAACCTTCTCAGTCTCGGTCTGTTCGTCCTTGGAAATCAGCGTCGCGAACGGATAACTAGGCACTGAGGCGATGCCGCACTGTCCAGCAGGTCCATTCTCCTCACGTGTGAGACGAATATAGCCATTCTCTCCCCATGACGATCCCCACGAGTTCTTGACCTTCCAGAACTTCTGTCCATTGTCCGAGCCGTAGCCCACAGCCAGCACACCGTGGTCCAGTCTCGTGCCACACGTGAGGTTGAAGACTCCAGACTTGTAGAACTGGAACGCCTTCTGGTCAGCCTCAATAGCCACCGAGACGGGTTGTTGCGACACGGCTACCTTGAGTGCGTGTTCATCCTGTGGGTTGACGTCCTGAAAACCCGTGACCTTAACAACCTTCTCGCAATCGCGGCATACCTGAGCCTTGGCCTTGTACTCGTAGTCATCCTCGCTACAGATACCCCCGTGGTCCTCAATCCACGCAAAAGCGTGGTCCATGAGACCACCATTGCAGCCCATATCTCCATTATGGTCGCAGTCCACCAGCTCCTGCTCCGACAGACTCACCAGCTTGCCGCTCGATACATAGGCCGCGCCCTCCACAGCGCCCGTAGTGGAGAAGGCCCAGCACGAGCCACACATCCCCTGGTTTTTGACAGGCGTGACGCCTCCCTTGTCCTGCCAGTCCACAGACTCAGGCACTTGCACGTCGGTCCACAGCCCGTCTACGCGCGAGGCCAGACGCTGTTCCAAGTAGCCGTCGGGCATCTCGAAGCCCGTCATCTTGAACTTGAACTCGTCGAACGACATGTGGGAGAACTCGTTGTGACCCAGCTTCACGCCCGTCCAGGCGTTCTCGAGGTTGTGCTCCAAGATGTACATGTCGTTGGCGATGTAGTTCTCCAGACGCTTGGCGAACTCGAGAGCGTCCGAAAACGAGATGGAGTGGGTCTTCATCCACGCCGAGAACTCGTGCTCATACTCGAGAGGCGTCTTGAGCGCGTCCGCCAGCGCCAAGCTGGCTAGCAGGAGGGAGGAGGAGGCGATGCGCATGCTTCTGTTGCTGCCAGGAGTGATGGTCCGTTCTTCTTGGCGGAAAGCGTTGTGAGAGAAAGATGGCGGGGTGCAGGGCGGTTGAAGCGGTTTTTCACTTGCACTTTGTATGGAAGATCGGGGGAATCGAGAGAATCAGACAGACTTGGATGTGGCCAGTAGCCAATCGGAGCACGAGGAGAATAGTGAAATTTGACCAATCACATTGGTGTTAAATGGGATCAACGTTCTCGCAGAGAAGCTCACCTGCGTCGTAGAGGCAAGTTCAAGGCTCGAAGGCACAACCAGGACTGGCGTGCGCACAGCGAAAAGAGCTACCGGCGTTAGATTTAGTCGCGTGTGCATTTGTGGCGAAGATGCCGCTGAGTTTGGGGACACCTGCGTCAACGGCGATCGAAGTTGAAGCTGCCGACAGGACTTCGCACCCGAAATGTTTTTCATGCTTGCTTTTTCGTAATCTTCGCTATGATTCACGTCTTTCTCTGGACACTCAGCACACTGCCAGGCTGCTACACCTCAAAGGGTAGACAGCCAGAGCTCTGGCTGGCGTCGCTAGCGTGGTTTTTGGGTCAAGCTATTCGCTGTGCACATGCCGGATGGCACCACAAACGGCTGGTGATAGCGCTTCACATTATGAACACGGTGGCTAGCTGAGGTTTGCATCTTTTCGGAAAGAATGTCCCCAATTGTTGTGCGTGCTTTGATTAAAAGTCGGGAGATAGCAAGCAGCATCCGACACACTGTGCTTTATTCAGGGAAATATGATATCATATCGTGGGTATGTCATCATGCCCTCCACCCTTCCACCCTGAACAAGATATTGTCTCTGTAACGATGGCCTCTGTGCGTGTGTCTCGACGGTTGGCCTGCATTCTCGAATTACAGGCAACTTGAAACTTTTACCTTGCCGCGGACTGCATTTGTAAGCGACGAGAATACAAAGGTAAAGCCGACGGACGGCTCGATCAATCTCCGCACAAAAAAAATTTACAGCCCGCAGTTGGGGCTTCCGCTGCACTGGCAAGCAGCAGCAACGTCGCTGTAAATCTGTATAAATGCCAATGCCATCATGCCTTCCGTTGTCACTAACCTCACCTCGCCGACAAGTGATCGTTGCTACTACAGTAGTAGTATGACAAAGACCTTTTGTGTATCTTGACCGTTGTTCGCGAGTCATAGGAAACTGGAAAATCTTTGTCTGTCGCGAAAATGATTGTAAACGACGAGGACACCAAGATGTGTCCGTAGTTCGATCAAACTTCGCTGCATTACTTGTACAGCCGAATTTGGGTTTTAGCTTCGATCGGAGAACTCGCAGGCGGGCAGCCTTGTCGCAAACTCATTTGTAAATGACGATGATACCAAGATGAAGTCGGCGGGCTCGATCTATCTTCGCCAAATCGATTGTACATGCACGGCCCAGTAGGGTTTCCGCTGCAATTAGCAGCAAGTTCCAGTGGGACACTCCAGTAAAGATAACCTGTGCCTTCTCGTCGTCGCATCGCCTGCAGTGCTGGATGACAAGACAGCACCTTCGGCACGAATATCTCATTCTATCACCTAAGGTGTGCATTCAGCGGTGTCCTCCGTCGACGCACCTCTTCTTTCGGCATGAAGCTATTTGTCACGGGGGAGGAGGGGATGATCATCAGCAATAAGCTTCCGAGCTATTTAGCGTCTTTATTTCCACGTCTGGTTTTAGAGTGCAACCCATGTAGTTATATCATCTTCTACGAGCATAAAAGGTACTCTTATTCTTAGTGTTTGTAGGTGGGCAACAAAATTCAATCTAAAATGTAGCAATTTACGCTTAAACGTCGCGCATCGTGCGACCTTTATCCGACTTCAACCACGTTTGCGCATTGCGATTGGCTGAAACTAGCGTCACTTCTCCATCTGTAACGGCCGTCGGCCGAGCAAACAGCGCAGTTCCGGATTATCAGACCTTCACTTAAGTCGCCGTCATGGCCGCTATCAAGCGCCTACCGCGACCGCTACAGCTCGCAATTGCCGACGCCGGTCGACGCCGCCATCACTTGGCAACGCTCTGTCCGCGCGTGACTCACGAAGATCTACTTTGCTCCATCTGCTTCGATATCTTGAGCTTCCCAGTCACGCTGCCCTGCGGGTACGTACGTCAGCAAATTGCGGAGAAACTGGTGTCTTAAGTCTCACTAGTTTTGTGGCTATAGACACAACTTCGACCGCGGCTGCATCTTGACGGCCTGGGCGCATGAAGCCTCGCCCTCTTCTCCCACTGCTGGTGCTGCAGAAGCTCGAGCAGCAACACACTTGTGTCCGTTGTGTCGACAGCAGACTGAGGTGCACGAGCTTCATGTGAATTTGCTGCTCAAGAACCTCATTGCATCACTGTATCCCGCAGAAACTCAAGGTGCTGCAACTCCAGCTAAGCAGTGTACACACGTGACATTGCCACCGTCACCGCGTTCAAGTGGAACAGCGCTGACCACCAACACAGCCGCGTCAGCGTTCAGACGTCGACCAAATCTGCGCACATTCTCGTCGTTCGTCTACGTTTGCGCGGCTTCTATAACGGACCCGCCGGGGTTTGTATTGGCTGTTCTATTGCTGCTGATACTGCTAGCGACAGCTTGCAATCCGCAGCCGGCGACGGCGCCACCCGCAGCGTCTGCCATGGTCATGTTCGACACGATGGATCGAGTATGCAACGGCTTGTCGCTCATGATCCACCGGATCTCGATGCACATGGACCAAATGGACCAGGTCTCACCCTGGATCCGCTTCGTATCGTATCTCCTCTAGTGGCAGCACACACCAGAGGAGCTCAGTATGCATATATTTATGTGAAAGTAAGCCAACCAAAATGCAAGCACCCGAATAAGGAGAACAACTACACTTTAACCTTAGTAACGCAGGCTGCAGAAGCAAGCAACGCCTGCTTTGATCCAGTACTCTTGGTCCGCAAACAGCACCTGTGCGTTGGTCTCGGACACTAGTGAGTTGCGGAAGATCGTGGGTTTGTTGGCTGGGATCTCTAGCCACATGACGAAGTTGGTGGAATGACCAGTTGTCGACAGCGTACCAGTTCTAGTAAGGATCTTGTACACTGGACACCGATAAATGCCTCGTTGTGGAGCCTCTCGATTCGGTTGAGGCAGTAGATGAATGACAGGCATCTTGGCGAATAATTCACGTGGCAGTGGGTCATCTAGCGCCGTAATCTCGGGATTCCAGCGAGCTCCTTCGAGGAACAGCCCGTACGTGTAGCAACCATCCACAGGTCTTGCAGTAAGCTGCTCGACACTCTCGGGCTTCATAATGAACTGGAACGATAAGGAGTCGATAGGTAACTTGTATCGTCGAGCGTGGTTCTGGATCGTGCCAGTCATGAAGCCTTGCGGGAAGAAGAAGCCCGAGATCCAAAATACGGCCGGGATGCCGTGTGCGATCCAGTTCGAGATGAACGTCAAGCGTTCAAGCAGGTCCTTCACCCACGCACCAAGCGGTTTAAGCGACGGATAAGCTTTCGCTTCCCATACTGCAGGAACCTTCTGGTCGTAGAGCGACGCCCCCATTGCTTCGAGTTCAGCAGACATGACTACAAGACCCTTGAGACCTTGTTGTACAAGATATAGGGTGCTCCTCATCACAGCCAGTAGCTTGTTAAAGCGCTCCACTTCTTGTGCCAACACAGTGTTCATCGACTCGTCATAGGAGACTGGATATGCCGCCTGGACATGCTCGAGATCATACTGAGGGGGCAGTTGAGAAGCAATCGCTTGAGCGGCATCAGCGATAATCTCTTCTCGGCTTTTGCCACCACCGGAACTCACTCGTGGCTGTAACGACAGCAGCAGATCGAAAGCTTCGTACGTCTCGGCTTGAGCGCTGGTGATGTTGGCGTTCTCGTGCATGCCAAAGACTTCGGGTTCCGGGTTGATAGGCAGCAAGTTGATGTAGTTCACGTATTCCTCGTAGGCGTTCCTTGGGTCACACTCAAGTGAGTAATAGATCCCGCTCTTTGAGAATGTGTAGCCCTTGTGTAGGATAGCTTCCTTGAAGAACGTCATGAGAATGACATCAGACGTTCGCATGTCCTTGTCGTCTGTAATTCGTCCACCATAGTTGATAGTAGACGTCATGACCTGCAGCACGTCGAATGGTACTTGGTCGTATGTGTCCAGGAACATTTCTAGTTGTGCTACACTAATGTCCAAGTCCGTCTCGTTGAACTGGTACGGGATGTTCCATCCGAGTGCTCCAAAGCGCTTCCGCTCACACACTATTGCGTGGTAGAAGCACAACCCAAACAGCAGCTTACGGAACACGTCGGGTTTACGAGTTGCGCTCAGTCGTGTCTCATCCAGCTTGTAGTACGTGTTTTTGAGGTTCGCACGCAGTCCCTTAGGCGCCTCTTTCGTCATCTTCACACCATCTTGTAACACTGACGCAGGGAACGCTGGAGTCGGCATACTCGTGAGCCACAGACGGAAATTCTCGTGTAGCTTAGTGGGATCCAGTTCTTCACATATTCTCTCCAACTCGGGCATCCAACTCAAAGCCAAGTGACAATTCTGTAATAAAACCCACTCTCCCCTTGTCGTCGCTCCTTCGATAAGTCTAGCAGCTAACGTACCTTGACCTTGACCCAGCGCAATCGACTTGAGTTTACTCTCCATGCCTGTGCTAACGGCGAATCCGTGTAGGTCTTTGGCTGGATCGGAACCTTGTGACAATACAAAAATCAACGGTGTTGTCGGACTGGCATCCTCGAATGTGTTTGCGAGATCAAACGGCGGTGGCTCGATGAATTCCTTGCCCAGCTTGGCACACACCAAGTTTTGAATACCAGGCATCATCTTGTCCGGTCGCAAGACGCGTAGGATGCAGAGTTTCTGGAATTCGTCCAGTTTGGACAGCTTATCACCAGGTAAGGGCTGGTTTTCGGGGTCTGTCGAGTCGAAGATGGAGCGAAAGACTGCTACGTGGTTGGCGAACTCGGTCTCGAGGCCTTTGAAAGCAGGGAAGCTCGCGAGTGCACAGATCTGTTGCCATGCATAGGCTTCAAGCCATCGCGCAGCTGGGTTTTCCGCTTCAACTGGAGGGCTAGAGCCGATTCCTGAGAGCAAGAAACGCCACTCGCCTGCATCCACTTCGTTGTTACCCTGCATGATCTTGATAGTCAGTAGGAAGGAGAAGAGCAGCTTGTGTTTCTCAAAGAGGGAGCGGCAGACGTTCTTGTAGACTGAGTACGTGAAGTAGTCGTTCAGGTTTGTGAGCCGGGTTTCCAGTTGAGCTGAGGGCCTTGCTGCCAGGATTCCACGAATGAATAGACCGGTAAACCATGTAAGAGAATACTGGTACATTGGATCCACAAGAGCGAGATCGGCGATGCAGAAGAACAGCAAAGCTGCACGGAACGCCACGGGACGGTAGCCATCACTGCGCGCGTCAATCTCACGCTCAGTCTCTTCAGCTTCACGCATCTTTGCCATCACAACAGCCGACGTCTCCTTCGCTGATGCCAGCGTCTCGATGAGGTTCGTATCGTCCAAGATATTCCCTTCCGAGTGAGACAGGAGATACAAGATCTGGTTCTCGATCTCGTATAATTGTCTCTTCCCTTCTGCATTCGACAGCACGAGCTCGTTCTTCTTGGCTGCCAGTTCTGGTAACTCCTTGAGCACCACCACACCCAGAAGCTGCTCCTCAAGGCCTTTCATAGTGATAGTAAAGTTCAATAGACTAACTTTCACACAGACCTCTGGTGCGTAGTGTGGGTTTGCCAGTTTAGTCGTGAGGAAGAAGCGGAAGCTGTCGTTGTAGGGGATAACATTCTCGCCCAGTCGAATCATGTCCTGGCCTCCTTGTTTGAATTTCTGCTGCAATAACACCGGCTCCAGAGCAGCATCAAGCTCCTCGCCAACATTCTCTAGCAACACCCACTTGCCGAAGCGTAGACCGTTCTCCAAAGCACGCAAGAATCCACGATCAGATTGCTTGACCACATCCATTCCGTTTTCACAGAGTTTCTTGTCACGTCCTAGATTCTTGATGAAGCGGTTAGCTTGGCCCTGTGGATCGATCAACAACGGCCATCTTCGAGCACGTCCTATGATGATACCATTCTGTGTGGACACCGTGTCGGTCGGCAGTCCAGCGATCTGCCACGCACGTAGTTTTACTGGGTCTTGCAACGTTCGAATCAAATCGCAACCAGGAGAGTGAGGCACTTTGTGCTTCACCAGAGCTTCGTGCCATGAAGCTACAAGTTGTTCGCGGAATTCAGCAGTGAAAGCTCCAAGGTAACTAATCGTACCGGCAGATACTAGCACGTCTCCTGTGAGGTTGGAGTAGTCGAGAGTGAGCTGCGCTACTGTCTCCTTCCAACGAGCTTCCTCGCCACCAAGTCCACCGATCAATCTTTCAGCGTTCTGGAGCTGAACTTGACACTGCACCACTTTTCGTGCTAGTTCTTCTTTCTTGGCCACGGCGCCGTTATAAGACTGTTCCAACTCGGCAAGACGATCGCTCACTTGTTGCAGATTAGCTTGCGCACTTTGCAGTACAGCGAGTGTCTCATCGAGTTCTTTTTGTGCCTGTGCAAGAGCTTGTTTCTTCGGCTCCACAGCCTTAGCCACAAAGTGATACGTGTACATGGCACGAGCCCACATACAGATCGCGGTACAGGCTTTTGAGGACTTCTCGATAGCCTCTGGCGTAAAGTTTGGATCTTCCATACTGGGGGCCACCTTGGTGATGATGGCATCCGGAATGTTATCTTTGTCGAAGCCTAGGAGGTTCTCCAAGAACTTATTCGCGTTCGACAGCACCACCTTCTGCGCTACTTCCCAGTAATCGTTGATTTTCTTGCCTGGACGATCTGGATCCGGTTTACTCACAGGTTTCTGGCCGAAGAGAATACACACCACTTCCATCGTCAGTTTAACACCAGCGGGTGGCGTTTTCAGCGCTTTGACTTCATCAATATCAGCTTTTTTCAGTCGATTCAGACACTCTAGAGCAGACTCCAGAGCAGGAAGAGCAGCATCGAGGTCACGTTGTGCGGAGTCTGCGATTTCTTTCGTCGCACTGGCCTTAATACTAGCTGCTGCCTCTTCCTTCTCGACGGTAGCCTTCGTAACATCTGCTTCAGCGCTATCTTTCGCAATCTGAACCATCATTTGCTCCACCTCCAATTGAGTAGCAGCCAGAACAGGCTGGAGCTCCACCAACTCCGTCTGCATCGTTGCAACAATCGCTTTCGTTTCTGAGAGTTTGTCCACACCATTCTGCAAGCGACTGCGCATCATATTGACCTCCTCACGCTTTGCAACCAGGACGGACTTGAAGGCTGATAACAACTCCAAATAACTGGTTGGAGTCACGTAAAAGTATCTTCGCAGCGTGTTGTAAAACTTTTTGGAGGCCTCTTCGACGCTTTGGTGTACAATCTTGAAGGATTCTACAAGAGCAGGGAGCTTATCGCCAAGCGCTAGATTGCCGTCACTCAAGATGGCGGAGGCCACAGAGTTTAGAGCCTCTGCAGGCCACTCACTGAACCAGTCGATGGTTGAGCAATTAACCAGTGACGGGAACATTCGCAATCTATCACGGAACAATCCACCCAATGGACTCATACAGATTACCAGGTGAATGTTACGTCGCACACGGTTGATATACTGCTGAAAGATGTTAGTCTTCGTAGGAGGAAGCTGTCGCTTTTGACAATCAACTCGACACGCTGTCACAATTTGGTCCAGGTCTTCAGGGCCGTACAGGTTCGGCACGTTACCCGCATTCAACACGCCGTTGAGATCTTCAAGCATCGTCTCATTAACCACTTGCACGTCCGAGAAGAGGAACACCACTGGTGTATCCTTGACACCTGCAAGCAACAGACACTTCTTGACATCATCTCGCCATTCAGTAAGACCGTATCCCTTCACAATCTCCACTTGGAAGCACTTGTACCCAGCCATGAAGGTGGCTAACTTCGTCAAACTCTGACGACCACTTCCACCAACTCCGAGAAGCAGAGCGTTGCCCATAGGTTGTCGAATGATACGAGAGATACGGGATACATGCTCCACGGCGTCCATGAACAACACAAGCGACATGGGAGACTTGCTCTCTGCGTTGTAGTCGAGCAGATATTCGTCCATAATGTTCAACACTTTATGCACATCGACAACTTCCTCGTAGATCTTCGGATCCGCACCAGGGACCAAGTAATCGCCGTAGATCAAGTGATCGTTTGTCACAACTTGGTCGTACTCACGCTGGAAAAACTCCTTGACTGATGAGCGCATTAGCTCACGGAACCAGTCGTGGTCCTGCGTGGACACCATTCGGTCTTCGTAGACTCGTTTACACTCATGTACCCACAAGCGAATCAGCGAGTCTGTCTCCGAGATACGACGACTGTCGCCCATGAGCACGCCCTGGAACACCTTTGCCAGATCACGCAGGTTGAATGTATAGTGCGACTTGGCTGGAGTAGGGAGTAATTCGCGGCAAATGGTGTTGTATACGCTTATAGAAGCCTTCACGACGTTATCAGTAAGTCGAGCGATTTCTGCTGGGAAACCAGAACCCAAAAAGTTGCCCAGAATCGTACTGAAAATAATGGTCTTGCTGTCATCGCCAAGCTCAGCATAGCCCACGACATTGAAGTGGCGTACCAGACGCGGAGTAATTGGGTTGCGTCCACCACCAGGAGGACCCATCGATGCAACAAACAGAATGTCAATGATGCTACGGAACACGAGTAACTTGCGGTCGTACCAACCACTTTGGTCGAACCACTGGCGCACCAACTCCAACGGAGGTTGTGCAAAGTATTTCTCACGCTTGGGCATATTCAAATCGTCCACGTAAATAATGTACTTCTTTCCTGCTGGTGGGCCATACACGCCTTTCCGGCGCTTCTCCATCTTGGCATCCAACATGTCCTGGGTCTGGTTGGCTGACGTTTGCGCAGAAAAAGAGATCGGGATGGGGATGTAGATGTCAGCAGGTAAAGACTGCAGATATCGGGTGATGTTGACAGTTTTACCGGTTCCTGTTCCGCCGACCATGAGCACGTGCTTCCCTGCACTCATCAGCTCTTCAAGTAGAAAATTATTGCGCACAGAGTCAGCTGTAGGTACAACGATCTCAGCAAACGATGAGTTAGCAGGAACCTTGTACGGACTGACTGTGTTCATCCAGGGCACCCATTTGTGACTGGAGAGCTGGTAGCAATAGTCATAGACGAGTCCGGTGGGAGGGAGTGGAGGTTTGCAGTTGTTGGCCACCAACTCGCTCCGCAGGAAACTGTCAAACCGAATTCGACCAGCATCATTCGTAGAGGCTCCTATAGACCAGATCAGAGCGAAGATGAAGAGAGGCTCAATGTCGTCCTTGAACTGAGCATTGGGCGTTTTAGATGGTGGTTGCGGTTCACCGGTACCGTCAGCCGGTTTTTCACGGAATGGGTCCAACGTACAATCTAGAATATTCATGAGACTCTGGGCGAGATTGTTGTCCATTGTAGGCACTAACTCGCCGAGGAATGAGCGAATAAACGTCACCGAAGCATACAAGTACACGTCAAAGAGTCTCATGAAGATATGCCCGAACTGTGCCATGGACTTTGGTAAACGCTCGACCCACGAATCGACTAGAGGCCCAAGACCAAGTGTACTAGGCTCCATGTAAACCATACCCGTTCGACTGACAGTAGCTGGTGAAGCTACGGAGAGGTCCTCCACCTCGAACATCATCGTCATCTGCTTGGACATCTGCAGCATTTCTCCACTATTGAGACACAGTTTCTTGTTGTCGTCCAGCACCGTATTCATATTCTCAATCCAGATAGCATCCACTGGTCCGTCAAAGATGACCCACTTGCGATCGGGCTTTGTGTCACTTGCAGCAGCACGGTACAGCGTCGATAAAATACCATCCTGCCACTCGTGCGTGTTAGGATCAAACTCACCATAGAGCTGTCCCATCGTAATGGACTTCGGGTTCAACTGGTACTTGATTACTCTCTCGAACGCGAACCCAGACTCGCCCCGTCTCTTAAGTTCCGTGAGTGCGTCAGCGAGTACTGCAATGTTACACGATTTACCGCCTCCTGTGGCCCCGACGACCATAAGACCGTGACGCACGACGATCGTCTCGTACAACTGAATACACTTCGTGAGGAAGTACGGCACGGGCTGTAAATTCAAGCGGTGGGTCTGCAGTTTAATGACGCTGATTAGAGCACCGAGATCCAAGTTCGGGCGGCATTTCCCAGGGAACAGGTCGCTGATGATACCATTAAACAGCGGGATATCGTGCGCCAGGAACTTGGGTAGATTAACGTCTTGCAGTGCACGCAGTAGCAAAACGTCCTCATCCATGTCGGGATCGTCACGCTTGAGGTTACCAGCAGCCGTGATGACAGTCTTCACAGCACGCATACCGTAATCGTAGTGGAACTGGGATGATAGTTGCTCCGAGCACAACTTGAACGTCGTAACCATCTTCGCGCCAAGCGCGCGTGCATCCGAGAATCCATAGGCGAAGAACATAATCTCACCAATAAGCGCGTAATCGGGCACCATCATCGCAACAGGTCGGAAGAGAGCAGCAAGGGAATCGGGCAGCTCACTACGTCCAGCGTAACCAGGGTTCATGGTGATAAACACGCCGAACTGATCGCTAAGTTTGATATCCGATCCTTCAAAGATGATTCGAGTATCGCCACGACGAATACCGAGTTGTAACGTAACCACTTGCTGTCCAACGACAGATAACACCTCGATATCAATACGGTTAAACTCGTCGAAACACGCCCAGGCTCCACAGGATGCCAGTCCCTTGAAGAATTTGCCCATGGCAATGTAATCCAAACCATCGGAGCAGTTGAAGACAACACACTGTTTGGCCAGTGCCTTGGCTAAATCTTTCGTCGTTTCGGTCTTTCCGGTACCAGCAGGTCCAGCAGGAGCTCCACCAAGGATCATCTGGAGCGCACCCATCAGAGTCAAGTAGCACTTATCCGTCAGCGGCGTGATCACCAGTCGAAATGAGTTACCCAGATACTCGTAGCCGTACGGTCGACGTGAAGTCACGGCCTGAACCCACAGGTTTTTGTCCGCCCAGTAGTATTTTAACTGAGAACTCCACAAGAAATCGCCCTTCGATTCCACGTTTTGTGCTACCAATTTGCGCGTCACATCTCGAGCATGCACATCAATAACAGTCAGCGCGCCACACGTGATACGAGCCATGTTATCCAGATTGCCACGCACAAGGGTGACCATGTCAGCTAGTTGGCCTAGCTGTCGAGTCATCATCTTCTGTACACCTTCACGTCCGTCAGCATCCATGGCCTCCTCCATCTCACGCGTCCAATGCATCTGACTGCCGTTGAGAACGCACATTCCAGGCCATTTCTGAATCCAAAGTGGTCGATCGATTTGCGTGTAGTTCGCGATAGCGCGCTCCATGATGTCACGGATCGATATCTTCATCATGTCTTCAACTTCCATCATCCAGTGCTCCACGTTCTTGCCCTTGGGGTCTACCATGCTCGAGAACGGCACCTTCTCACCTTCAGCAGAAATCATCGCACTTATATTCAGATCATCTTCAAAGGTGACCTGAACGATACCTTCGAAGCATTTCTTCAAGTGCGGCTGCACGAGTTTGACATCCTTGGACTCTGACAGGATGGACAGCAATTCATCGTTGGAAAGGAAGTAGAATCGCGCAAACGCCGACCGCTTGACTTCGAGATAGTCGCTCAGGCCTTTTTGCACAAGCTCCAAGAAGTGGTTTGACTCACGGAACCTCTCCAACAGCTTCTGGCTTCGACAGAATTCGACACATTTCGGCTTGGCCTTGGCTGATGCTAGCGTTTGTCGCCAATTCTTATCCACTGAAGCAAAGCGTTTGCCCTCTGCAGGGAGTTGCTTGTTGATATCAGGAGACTCGAAAATGGGCTGCAAGTACAGCCAGTTGCGCTGCACCGCTAGCCACTCCTCCAGCACTTCCGAGATGAGTTGAAGTGTCGAATTCCACTCAATAATTTCCTCCTCAAACGGTCCTTTAAACGTTGAAAACATCATGGCCTGTGTCATCGTGACATGCTCGTCCAAGATCGCCTGGATCTCATCCACGCCCTTGATCACGTATGTTCCAGTCTCGCGGTACGCTATGATCTGTAGGTCAACAGTTTCCCACGCTCCCTTCATCGTTCGCAGCGCTTGCTCGACCTGGTATTCCTTACCAGCAGCCTCGGCAACTTTCACAATGTCATCAATGCGTTCCAGTAAGTTAAGCTGGAAAATGTTGGTGAGCGTGAAACTCTCGTCGATCTCCAGTGCAAAGCCCAGGCTTTTGCTCAGCTCTTCCCAGTGACGCAACCGCATGCCAGGGTTCCGCAGGGCCACAATAAGCGGTACATACGGCTTGAAGACGGAGATTTGTTCCTTCACAGTCTCGGCGATCTTGGAGCACGCCTCGTTGCCGTTATTACTGAAGAACTTGTAGGCCTTTTGGATCCCAGTGCTGTATGTATCCACAAGTTTTTCCACCTGCTCCGCATCGACGTCGATGAAGCTTCCTTGGATCCACGTCTTCCGACTCTGGATCCAGTTATACGACGTGGACCAGAGCTGGTGATACGGCTCAAAAGTCTTCTTAGCGCTCGCCAGTCCGTCATATGAAGTCACTTCTTGCCCAAAGAGCGTCTCCCGGCTGTTAAATAACATGGCATCTTGTTGTGCTTGTTCTAGCTTTCGCTGAACAGACATAGCGTGATGTGCCACGTCTTCCACGAAGGCTAAATTGTCATACCGAGAGAACGTGTCGATCTCTTCTTGCAATGCAGCCAACGTCTTCTCAAACCGCTCCTGTTCGGACTCCATTTGCTTCGCGAACTTGCTCTTGCGCTCCTCCAGTGCATGTTTAAAGCGTGCACTCTGAGCTAGCACCTTTGATGGCCAGCCCTGCACATGCCACGTAAGACGCAGGTGCTCGTCACTAACGTAGTGGTGGAAATCATCGATTAGAATGTTGTCGCGCATCATCTGGGCGATTTCTTCCTGCATCGGAGCCAGCAGAGCCGGCAATCCAGTGATATATTCCTGAAGCGCAGTCAAGCTCTCGATATCCTTCGGTGTTGAAGATAAATTCTGGTTAATCTCGTCAAATTTGCCCATGATTCGAGTTGCTATTTGGAAACAGTATGCCACTTGCGCTTCAAGTAACCGCGCAAAACAATCGCGATGTTTCTTTGCCAGCGTGAAGCGAATATTCGTCAGGTCCACTTGGAAGAGTCCGAGATTTACTGCACGCGCTGGGATGGTTTCCATGAGTCTCTCCTCTTCATTCCGGTGGTAGGTCAGTAATCGCCGCAGCTCGTTCAGTTCAACGGGAGGAAGAAGAGGAGCTGGCTCACCCTCTTCTCCTTCGGCATTTCCTTCAGGCTGCACACGGAAGATCGTCTTGAGATACTCGTCCACGTCCAAGTTAAGCAGCGGGATGTACTGGTCAAACTGCAGGTGGTACTTGAGCAGTGGCTGAGCAGCTCTCTCAACGATACCTCCCACATGCTCTTTAAGACTGGCTACTGACTCCGCACAGTCCTGTAAACACGCGATGCTCTCTTGACTAGGCCAGAAGATTCTGTCCATGACGAGTCTCTCCACCAGTTCGAGCGACTTCAAACGCTCGAGAGCAACATCGAACTGACCAGCTAGTGCGCCTTTGAACTCTTCTGGACTGGTAGCGTACTCAAACCGGTGACCTTCTCGGGGTGCCACAGGCTCAATAGGACATTGCGCTGAGCGGTCCTGGACATTGGCTAGAGCCCATTCTCGAATCTCAGCAGCTCGCTTGTCTACTTCGTCCTGATTCAGTACAAGCTTCTCTGGAGAGATAATAAGATCGACTCGGAAAAGTGGCTGGTGTATCGGTGTAGAATCAGACTCTGCGTCTGTATTCTCCGTCGTCAACGAGCGTTCGCAAATATCGCTGGGTCCCCGTACTTCCACGTTGTAGCCGGCCATCTCTTCAACAAACTCTGCGTAGCCTTCAAAGTTGTGCTGGATAAGTACGCGAAGTGTGTCTTCAACCATGTAGTTGACGCGATGCAAGAAGCGACGAAGTGGCATGTCCACGTATTTCTGCCGGCTGGACTCTGCCGGATTGTAGAGCGGATGCTGTGCCTGTGTGAAGTGCTGTTGAATCCGCTTGGCCGCCAATCGCGTCCAGCAATCCCGCATAAAGCGTAGCGCCGTATGGCTCATTTGCGCGTGCAATGAATGAAACTCAGCCAGCGAGATACTCTTGGGTTGTGGTCGAGCACCGCCACCAAAGCTAATCTCTGTAGGCTGCTGCTCCAACAAGAGCTTCTGTGAGCCAACGTCCACGCAGCTGCGACGTACATCCAGCAACGCGTTCACTGCAAACGACAAGTTGACAAACTTATCGGTTGAGATGTCCAGAAATCTTCGATTGTAGTCGTATGCGGGGACTGGAATAACGCCGCACTGCGGTGGGGGCGGTGGAGCTGGTACTTTGGGCAGTTTGAGGTCGGAGAACTCACGTTGTATGTCGTCCACGTTGGTCTCGAAGATCAGCTTGTTCATAGTGTACATGTAGTCGGCGTTCACTTCCTCCAGCAATGCCGACGTGCCGATGTCTGCGGGCACAGATAACGAGGATAGCGTGAGCTGAAGTATGCTGCTGATGGTCTGCGAGTCCAGTTGGGTGTCCGAGCTGATCGGCATATTCTCCACGTAAAGCGATTGCCGTAATACTGCCGCTGCTTGCTCTCGACGCTGCACGGCACGTTGGATACGCTGTACGAAGGCCTCGCAGTCATCTTTCTCCAGACACAGAAGTCCACGGTGCATTACTGGTGATCCCACACGTTTCCCAGCAGACCACGAGACAATGAAGCGACCGAGAGACGCGTCAAACGCTGTCACCATGCAACTGGACCAGCTTCCTGCGATGCCAGTGACGTCGTCCAGCGGTAGACCCACTGCCTTCATTGGCAACTGCTTTGCCAGCTCTGGACGTTGACCAGCTGTACCGGCGCCATCTTCCACGTCGAGAAAGCACCACAATGGGAGAAATGTGCCCGCAATGCATGCGTAGGGATCGGCGGCATTATTCGATGCTCCTCCATACGAGGAGACAATAGCTGGATGCCCCAATCCGTCACGTGGGACCTGAGTCTCCAGCCATTCCGCTAGTGCTGCTCCCGTCAAAGTGCAATGGGCTGCCTTTTTAGTGGACAGACTAGCTGCTCTTTTGCTAACCCTGGGCGGTTGCTTGCCAGACTTCGAGGCGCCATTCTTGATTGGGTAGTTCAGCGACTGCACTTGAGGTGGCAGGATTTTTTTGGATGGAGCTTTTCCCATAGTTCCAAGCAGCGATCCAAACGCGGACTGCATCGAGCTTGTATCGTCTTGGTCATATTTTTCCAGCGTCTTGAGTACCAAGTTGAGAGACGCCGCATTTGCTGCCTACACCGGGAAACACAGTCACTCCACACGTCAAAGCGACACTGGCAATTCAACCCTCACCTTCTTTGAGTTGCGCTTGCTCATCGTACTGGCCTCCAATGCCGAGTGCTTTCTCCTCAAGGGCCAGCGCCTTCTGTAACAGTAAGCCTCGCCCCCACAGATAGCAATAACCTTCAACAATCCGTTTGCGTCCCTTTCCAAGTCTAGTTGCACGTTGTCGTTTCGCGACTTTTCAAGGCGAACCTGTCAAGACATTCATGATCACCAACCACACCAAAATGCACACACCTACATACCGAAAACGGTTACCAATTCAAATTCACATGTCAAATACTGACGCGGCGAATTACTCTACCGCTTCCTTTTTGCCGACATCACGAGCGAAATCTTCTGGTTCGTTCTTCACTGCCTTCACTTCATCCAGCAATTGCCTCAGCTGCTGCTCCAGAGCCTTCTGTCGAAATTGCTGTGATAAATGAATTGCTTGCTCGATGTAAGTCTTCACTGCTGTCGGACCACCCTTCATCGACCGAAGGCCACTGACAACAAACTCCTTCTCCTACAGCGAATAGCAAAAAGGTTAAGTATACAGAGCACGAACATAAGCCTCAATGATCCGTACCTGTTGCGTAGTCGAGCGCGCCTTGATGAGACGGATAATAGTGCTCCAAGATTCCCAGTTCTCCGCCAAGACACCGTAGACCTGCCGGACAAAGCTTGCATTCTTTTCATCCTCCACAAAGTCACCATCGTGGAGAGGAATACCCAGCATTTGCGCTGCCTCAGCCTTGACAGAGTAATTCGATCCCACTGAACTGTCGGTCATCACCGAGTCACCACTTTCACTTCGACCCGGCGACGAAATTGTCGACGAAGTGCTGGAAACCGGAGAGCTAGGAGAATGCGAAGGTGACCCAGGCGACTTCTTAAAGGACGGGGAGCCATGCATTCGGTGAGAGCGCTTGGAGTGCTTCTTGTCTCGCTTCAGCTGGGAAGACCGCTTGCGCGTGCGCTGGCGCTTTGGAGATTGACCTCCCAGTGCAGCTGCTTCATCTGCAGCCTCGTTCTGGTACACGTTGCTCTTAGATGAGCTCTTCTTGTATGGGTTACCCAAGTTAAATGATAGTTGGCGGCGTCGCAGTCCTGTCGGCGTGTCCTCATCAGGCTCAGCTTCAGCCAGAGGGTTACGAAGCGCTTCTTTCTTGACCAGACGCGATTCATAGTCACTCATAACGTCGATCGGCTGACGATGCTTTTCATCCTCCTCCACAGCACGCCAACTGGGCGTCAACTTCAAAGGCACAGCGTCATCCTTCGGAGCCGTCACACGAGGGAGAGACATCTGGAACTGGAGTTTCGACGACTTCTCGAAGAATTGCGCCTTACTCTTCTGGTGAGCAGCTCGTAATTCCTGGAGCGACATGCTCGCAATGGCATCCAACGTCGCGTCTGTCTGGTTCGGTCCAGTCGCGTCTCTGTTGGACATGGGCGACGCAGATGGAGAGGACTCGGGGATGCCGCTGCTTCGTGCTGAGTTGGAAGTATCATTTCGACTCGATCGGGAGAACAACTTGTTGTTGCTGTCACTCTCTGCAATAGCCTGTTCACGCAGTCGGTTCAAGAAGTTCGAGATCTGGTAGCTACGCCCCGAGTCTTGGACCTCAGGAACCATGTCATGCAGGTTGTACTTGCGCAGCGCCTTCTTCAACGGAGCGTAATAGTAAAGCGGACAACCACTTAGATACGCCGAGAAAGATTCGCGCCACGACGACGGCATGGCCTTAGCCTGGAACATCCACGTGCCAGACGCTGAATTGATGTTCTGTCCACTGGCCTGGTACACTCGCGCGACTTCCACCAGCAGCGAGAAGAGCTTGGGGAAGTTATACGGTAGTAAAACGAGCACCGCATTGAACGTGGGGATGCCAGGGGTCGAGCTGGGTGCACGCAGCATTCCAATAGGGTCACCTAGACGTCCGTCTCCTTTGCTGCCTTGAACATACACCAACCAGCGCTGACCACGACTCGGTGTAGGGCTGATCGCCGTCTCGAGCACGTAATTATCCGCAGGGAACTTCAACGTATCGAGCAGCATATGACTCGTGGCCGCCTCAATAGCATTCTCCACTGTGCGTGAGTACACCAGCGTCGGGTGAGCTTCTCGCGTCGGCAAAGCGACTGTATTTCTGTCGAGCCAAAAGGCTTCGGCCACTGGCCAGCAAAATTCTTTCCCATTGTGGATTGGAGCAATGATGTTCCTCGTAACAGGGAACTCGGCTTCTCCTTCCATGGCCTCACACTTGAACTTGACCACAGCTCCAGCCTTGAGTTTCAAAATGATCTGGTCGATGCTCTGCTCTACCGCCGGCTTGGACGTCGGCATGTAGAGCATCCCGCCTGTGGCTTCACTGAGTGCCATCAAGTCCGCCGGTACTGTAGGCTGTCCCTTGACGCCGTTCATGGTAGCTGACAATTTGAGCGCTACCGTAAAGAGCCGCTGGTCCCACCTGTACGGCTCGAACGTCAGGTCCGCCCCCACCGCATTCGACGGCGCGATAGCAAGAGCGTCTTGGATGAGGCCGTCAGCACTGGACAACGTCGTAGCGTCTGTAAGTAGCACACAGACTGACACGTTGGTGTTCCAGGGTGCACGCCCCAGTCCGTAGCTGTCCCAGTTGAACTGGAGGCGGATCTGGTTCATGAGTTCGAAGGCCTGTTTGAGCGCGGCGCCCACGTCGCTGAGGTCTGTGGCGCGTAGATTCTTGAGCTCACGTAGAAAGGCCTCCTTATTAGTGGACTGGTCCCAGCCCACACGCACGCGGCCGTTGTAGGTTGAGTCCGCACTCTTGCCTTTGGGTCTCCCATCGCGTCCACACGAGAGCAGCATGAAGTGGTGTTGGTAGCGCCGGCTCGGGTCTCGCACACGCTTCACAAAGCGCTCCACCGCCGACTTTGCATAGTCCAACAGCGTCATGCCAGAGCTCGTGCTCTGGTTCATGGACGCACTCGTGTCCAGGACAAACGTCACCAGCATGTTGTCCAAAGTCGAATGCGTATTTTGCATTCGAGATACTGGTACATTGATATGTGTATTAAGTACGATTGTTTCAGACGTAATTTATTTATTTTACCGCGATATCCTCGAGCGCCCTACGCTCGGAACTTGCGCTTCTTGAGCGAGCGCCCTACGCTCGGAACTTGCGCTTCTTGAGCGAGCGCTCGACGACGTTGGCGGCAGTAATCGTCTCGGCGTTGCGTCCTTTCCACTGGATAAAGTCCTTGGCGTCGCGGGTGCCGGCGTCGAAGAGCTTCTTCTCATCCTGGGTGAGTTTACGCGTGAACTCGGTCGTGTCCTCGTCCAGCGAGCTCATGGCGTTGTTTAGGAGGTCACGGTAGCGCTCACCGCCGAAGCAGAGGCGCAGGATCTCGCCGATCTCGCGCTGCTCCTCGTCCGTCACATAAGGCAGAAGCTGTCGCCCCACGTCCATCACATAGCTTGAAAACTCGCGAAGGTTCACGGACGACGGACCGGCCTTGAGCATACGGCGGAAGCGCTTGGTTAGGTAGTGTGGTGGCTCAACTACTACGTCTCCGCGCTTTGCCAGCGGTCGAGCCAGCCACAGCGGTAGCTCTACTACAGCGCCTTCCGACAAATCGGGCTCACGGCAGCTCGGATCCAGATACCCGCAGTCCAGCGCATCGGTCTCGAACTTGCACTTGATGCGCTCGTCCTCCGCCAAGATGGCGTCGATGTCCAGGTACCCTCCGTTCATCTGGTGGAGGCGATCTAGGCGCCAAAATTAGAATGATCAGATTAGCTTGTTCGAAACTAGATTCAAGACGACGCTCTAAATTACGATGTTCATCAAGGTGTTCTAGATTAAATCCACCAATCGAAGACGCCGACCATGTAGCCATTTCTAGGATCGCTTTTGACAGTCGCCATGTCGGACGAGCATCAAGTCGAGGAGAAGCTGCACGAACTGATCCGATCCTGGGGAGTGTCTACGTTCAGCGAGCGGATAGCTCTGCAGTGGATCAAGAGGTTCCTGGGCAGCGACTCAGGTCACGACGCCTTCCTTCGTCTAGGCAAGTGGATCGTGCTTCAGCTCAACCAGCGGCGGATTCCCCACGACTGTTCATCATGGCAGGTGGGGTGTCCAGAGTTGATTCCTCTGCTTCGTTCGACGCCCGTGTGGGACTGCAGCGAGTTTCCGTGGATACAGACACTAGAGAGCAACTTCGCGGTCATTAAAGAGGAGCTTTTAGCGCTTAAGAACAACGCCAAGTCGGCCTTCCAGCCGTACCGTGCGCCGTCCTGGGCTAGCGACATCGACGTAAGCGGAGCTATTGCAGGCTTCTGATAGAATTCGTGGTCAGTAAACAGTGCTTTATGTGTCGCAGACGAAGGACGGACTGGGCAGTGCTGGGCACGACGCGGGGGACTGGAACGTGCTCTATTTGTTCCTGCACAACGTAAACTTCCAAGCGAATCGACAGATGTGTCCGAAGATTGCTGCCATTATTGAGTCCATCGATGGACACTACGATCACGCTTTTTACTCTGCATTGGCGCCGCGTACACACATCAAGAAGCACCACGGTCCTACCAACAAAAAGCTTCGCTGCCATCTGCCACTGGTGGTTCCTGAAGGCAAGTGCCGCCTTCGAGTAGGTGACGAAGTGGTGTACATGCAAGAAGGAAAGTGCTTCGTGTTTGACGACTCGTTCGAGCACGAAGCGTGGAATGACGACGACACTCGCAGTCGAATCGTTCTTATTATCGACGTGTGGCATCCCGATCTCAGTGTTCAGGAGAGGAAGTTCCTCTCTTTCCTGCGTAACGCGCAATTGCGTATGGACAAGACCAGGTGCCAGGACTCTGGCGACAATTTCTATTCCATCATCAAAAAGGCTGGAGAGGCCAATACCTCTACTCACGAAGCCGTGTGGAGTTAACTCTAAATAATCCATCGTCAAAATCCCAGCTCTATCCACAATTCAAACAATTACAGATATACAACTCGTTCTCTGGTCAGCGATCGACCGGATCACTCCGACTCCGTGTCCGAATCATCATCGTCAATTATTCTAAAGGACACTGCCTTCGCCTTGGAGTTCACAATGATTGCTCTCTTCGTTGTCGCTTTCACTTCAGCCCTCACAGCCGGTTGTTTGACTTCGTCATCATCACTACATGTAGAGTTTAGAGCGGCAACGATTCTCCTTTGCTTCTCCCAGCGACGTCGAGCGTTCTGCACCATCGTGACTGCTTCAATATCGTCTTCTTTCTCCTCCTCTTCACCCTCCTTGTTCTCTTCACTCGAAGAACTATCGATCACAACGACGTCATTCGTGGGCACCGCACTGGCAGAAGAAGAGCGTTGCTCGGGTTCTTCTTCAAACGTAACAACCCGTCTTACTTGCGGACGTGGACGCGTAGTAGTTATCGTTGGTGTAGATAGCTGCGTATTTGCTGTCGAAACCGCGCCCCCGCAGGTTCCTCGGTTAGGCATGACATGAATTGCTTGACGAATCACCTTCTTGTGATCATCCTCCACGAAAAATCGCACTTGACCAGGCTCCCCGACAATATATTCTTCCAGCAGACGTAGCTTGTTCAAAACATAGTCGAGTTTGCGCTGAAGAATGGTGTTCTTGTTGCTTTTTGCTGCTGTTCGTGTATCCCCGTCCGCACGATGCCTCTTGCGCTTCTTGCTGGGGGCATTGAACATCGTTCCTCCGCCAGTATTAGTTTTCTTGGGCGACCTCCCTGGAGAATCCCCTTGTTGAGCTCTAACACGAGTAGGAGAAGCTATTTCCGGTTTCTCCTCTAGTTTGATCTGGTTCTCGTCTGCTTCATGAGGTTTCAGCATTTGGCTCTCCACACTGCCACGCATCCACAATTGCTCCACCACCACTGCTTGGCTAGCGCCCATGCGATGAGCTCGACTAATAACCTGCTGTTCCAGCGATTTATCCCAGATTTCGTCCATCAAGAAGATATGGGTGACGAAAGAGAGATCTAAACCATGTGAACCAACCTCTGTAAGTAGCAGGACATTCACATTCGGGTCTTGGCGGAAGCGCGCCAGGTGTTTCATTCGAACTTCGGGGCTCAGTCCAGCAATGAAATCAGCGGTAGGTACTCCCTGCTGCGCGAACGCAACTTTCGTGTGCCAAATGTGATCCTTGAATTGCGAGAAGATGATGGCTTTGAGATATCGCGCTTGACGTCGTGAAGAACGACTGCTTGGATTCATACTGCGAAGTAGAAATTCCTCCTTCAACTCCTTAATTCGGGTCGCGGCGTAAAATGCTTTACTAGCATCAATAAAATGTATGTCGCGAGTTAGATCCATCGCACGACGAGGCTGTCGCGGGACATTGCGGCCATTTTGGCCATTTGCCTCTTGATTGTTTGCCTCCAACGTCACAGCTTCCACCATTTCAAACTCGAATCCGGGCTGGAGTCTTTGGAACGCTTCACGGTCAAACACAGCATTGCAGCGGAAACAAATAGGCCCCACCCTTTTCATTCGATCTTCCACGCAGTCTGCACAGCACAGATGTCCGCATGGGATGATCATAAGCAATTGCAGCTTGCGTTTGCAACATCCACATTGAGTTACCATCCCTTGAAGCTGCACTTTTCGAAGGTAATCAATCACGATTCCCATGTTCTCACCATCAACGTTAAGTGCATTCAGCATATTAATCGTATCCAGTCGAGACGCCTCGGCCAACGAAACCTTCACAGCTGATCCACCGCAGCACGCAGACCGAAGGTTGGAGACCACACGCAGCGCTTCCTTCCGATTGATTGGGTTCAACAGACTATCCGGATGTTGGTGACCTGGATTTTTCGGATCCATATTCGTAATGACCAAGTTGGCACGGACAGCAGCGGCAACACCGTTGTATTGCGAGTACTCGCTTGGCGTGGGGTCAATAAACACAGTGCGTCGGATCGGTTCGGGCAATATCTCCCGGATCGACTCTTTCGTGTGCCGCATCATGATTCGACTGAGAAGGTGTTGCAAGCGATAGAATCCGACGATCTCATTCCGCTCGAACGGACGAGCGATCGCCTTCACCCAAGCCTGTCCGTCCAGATTCCCATAGGGCCGATTGCGCAAGAACACCAGAAGTCCATACATGTAGCGGAGATCAGCCGACTGGAGCGTGTTTGGCGTTGGTGTTCCGGTCATCACCCATCGTCTTTCGGCACAAATTAACCGGGCCAACTGCATCAGATCCGATGGAGTCTGACCACCCAGTTTGTGGCCTTCGTCCACAATCACCCGCACCCAGTGAACTGTCAGAAGAGAAGATACATTTCCTCGAAGAGTTCCGTCAGCATACCGTTGTGGACCTTCAAAGCCATATCGTTCGGGCATACGCGCTTCCAAAGCTGACGTTGGTCTGTGCAGTCTCCATTCTCGCGCCAATCTTGTGAACGAGGTGATAACGACGTCATATTCAGCGAGATCGAAATTTAGTGGCAGCTTGTACTCGACACCTGGATCAACAAATACCCGCAAGGCGCCCGGTGCAACATGAGCTCCAACTTGATACTTCCAGTGCTCTACCAGCGGATCGGGAGCCACAATCAGAGAAGCTCCAGAGCTCACCAGGTCATCTGCATTGACAGAGCGACGTCGAGATCCGGACGAGCGTAACCCTGGCCTAGCTGTATATCCACCATAGTCAACTGGTGTGTTGTCTGTCGTTTGTCCCTTTGTTCGCAAAATTAATGCCAGCATAGTGATGGTCTTACCAAGACCTGGTTCGTCACAGAACATGCCGCCACATGCGTCCCTTGCAGTCTCATAAGGATGCGAGACCACTCTGTCTTCAATCAAATCTATAGCCGTTGCTGATTCACTATTTGATTCAGACGATAAGATAAATGGATGTGGCTGAGGAATGCAAGTCAATGAAGGTGTTTCCCGACGTAGCATCCACTTGAGGCCTCTTCGCTGGTGCTCGTAAAGCACAAGGTTCAGTCCAGGCACCACTTCGTAAGCCATGTGCTGGAACAATGAGCATACACCGCTCAATGAGGCGAGGTCGCGTGCGTTCATAAGACATACGATACTCTGCAGCACGTTCGTCGGCAGATCAGTCAAGACGATCTGTTTGTTAGGACGAGTCATCCGAGGCACGTATGTGGCGTCATCTCGGATCTCCATTTGATCCACCTCCATTTGGCTCGTTAAGCTGTGGAATACGTCGGGCAGATTAAGTTTTTGTTTAGGTTGACTGGCCTTATCCCATGGGTGCAGTCTGCACCCCACAACATGGCATGAGCTGTTTCTGGCGGCCTCTAATGCAGCATTACGGGCCTCTTTCCTCGCCTGCTCGTTACGTGTCACAATGGCCAGCACAGTGGCTTGTAGGTGGCATAGCACAAAGTCAAATTCCTTGAGAGACGTGCCGCGCTGGGAGTCCTCGTGTACGCGCACGCGTAGTTGAAGCGTCGCAGCTCGGTTCTGGCCGATGGATCGCGGCGCCACGACGTACGTGGCATCTACTATCACGATTTGCCGCTCTGTGAGCACTAACAGCGCACGCAAGAAGCGCACAAAGTCGCAGTGGCAGCCGCTGGCCCCGTTAACGCATGCGATATCCTTGCGCACGTTGAGACTGGGGAACACGAGCTGGAGCCAGTCATCTTCCGTGCGTCGCAACGTCACTGGAACGATCGTAGCGCAACCTGGTGGGTGTTGTGATACTTCGGCATATACGGGTGCTAATAGCTCGATAGTGCGGCTCACACCGACAGCAGCGGAAGAGCTGGAAGCCCCTGCGAACGCCATGTCGGAAACGCTGCAACTTTTTTTGTATTGTATCAAAGAAGTTGCATCGTAACTTAAGCGGGGTAGCCAATGAATTTGCAATTCCAAAAATGTAATGGAATAAACTCACTTGTTTCAGTGTACATGTCAGCGGTTCTGTTCTATGTACAGATTTCGCCCTCTATTCTCGGAGTGGTTACCGCAACCTTAAGCAAAGGGAGGGGTGAATCTTAAAATCTTGGAAACGACGAAACTATGCTTGCGGTTTAAGCTGTATATTCGTAGCACCCGGATTTTAAGTCTAAAACCAAGCATGGTCGCATTTAGACCCTTTTAGGGCTACCGTTCTCTGTGCTTTCAGCGTGAGGCTTTGGCGATAGATATCCTGCCAGCAACTCCATTTTTGAAGATTCAAAGACTCATAGCACCTAGACAGGGTTAGGTGTTTAGGTTCAGGATTTTGGGCTGCGTTAATTTGACTAAGGTTGCTTTTGGAGTCGCTTTAAGGTGTAAAGGTTGCTGTATTTCGTGTTGTAATATCGTATTTAAGGTTGCTGTAACGCCATTCCTCTACTTTGACATCGATACCACTATAAGAATTTCTAAGTAATTTATTATTACGGTTTATGACATCTCACAAGGTGCTTGCTGTTTAAACGCGTCAATAATACCCGCCTCCATCGGCAGACTTCAACTTGTAGACCTCAGGCCATCAGTGTGATGAGCTACTAAGATAGATAGACAAGTTGCGCCGGGGTAAAACTCGCTTGTGTCGCTGAATCGTTATCGCCTACCGTGTCGCGGGACGCATGCAGCTCCCCGACCCGCCTAACTGTGGACTTCAAAACGCGAAGGCGAGATGCTCCCCCGGAAAAACTATATTATTAACAACACTCACGTTATGAGTTAGACACGGTGTCAGAATAGAGGGTGGAATCTGTACAAGTAGTGGTGTAAAGGGCAACGATCGGCTGCCCGAAGTCTGCGATGAGTGCATTGAAGTTCAGCGAGAAGATTGTCACGACAGCGGGCGAAAGGGCGGGTGGTGCGATCGGCGACTGGTCGAAGAGACGACCGTAGTCGCAGATCCAGTACGTCGGTACAGGAGAGGGTGAGATCCTGGAGGGACATGGGACACAGAAATCCCAGAGAGTGTGAGAGAGTGGCACGGGACGTGCGAAGAACGAGTTGTGGGTGCAGAAGCACTTGGGTGTTGCTCGTGTGGGACCGAGCGGCAGTGCGAGCTGTTCGGCCTCAGTCAGTTCGAAATCCGCTCAATGAAGAGCAAGGGGAGTTTGAAATCTGCCACATGAGAAGGCAGGCGGTTGAGATCTGCTCAGAACGAGCAAGGAATGCGTGTGTGTGGTTACCTCGGTTAATGAGCGAGCCTGTGCTGGAGGCGCAGGCGAGTTCGATAGCTGCCAATGAGGTAGGCGATTTGGGTGTTGAGTGTAAGTAATCGGTGGCAGAGCGTCATCGGCGTTGGTTTTCGACGGAATGGCAAGGAACCGGCAGGTAGAGGTCTTAGATAGCGCGTGCACGCATGTTGCATCATTGGGGCTCGGGTACTGTAGATTGTGGTGTGGCGTGTGATCTCTAAGGCAGCTTGTCGTGAAGACCGGCCGGAAGGCGGGAGTCTCGGAAAATCTTTCCCGTAAGGTGGCGCGGCGGGAATGTTTGGCCGTAAGGCGAAACAAGCGAGAAATCTCTGTCAGTGCGGACGGAGCAGCTAGTGCGAAGTCTCGGTCATTGAATACTGAGCAGTGAACGAGAAGCGGACAAACGGCATAAGTGAGCTTACATTGAGCGATTATAATAAATAGGACGCGAGCTCGACTACTTAGCGGTGGCCTATGGTGTGTTGGTGTTGCGGAGTCGGAACTCGCGAAAAAAAAAGAAATATAGCTAGTATAAATACCAACAAGGCAGTGTGACCCTGTGACGTGCTCACGATTTGGGAGCTGGAACTCCCGTTAAGCCAACGTTTATTGCTTAAAGTTGCTTGGTCGCTTGGTTGCTTCAATATAAATTGAAGAGTGAGCTATCTAATCGAGTTCAGGACGCACCCGCCTGTCATGACGGCAGCCCAGGGGATGCCGTCCTTGTGATCCACGTTGATTGCAGTAGAAGTGCAACCGGCTGTGCTTCATAGTCCTGTCATGCCTAGTACCTGCGAACAGCACCTAGAGATCTGCTTAACTATAGCTGAGCAGTGATCTCTCCAACGAAGTTGGCTGCGGGTTGGAGGAGCTGGTGCAAGTGATCTTGCATTACATCGCACTGCCCCCCCAAGCTTTCCAACACCGCAGTTATAGCAAATGCCGTCGTCGCCGTGTTATAAATGCCGTTCCCCGACGTCGTGTAATTGAATCTGTCTCGTCGCATATCTTGACATAGCCGGTACGCCAACTTCAACACGTTGCAGTGTTACAGGTTCATTTTCCAAAGATTTGCACCAATTTAGTTCAGCCAATGAAAACCAAAATTGGGATTTCCTCCAATCACAGGCGTCCAAAATTTCAAATCCGAATTTTAATGCCCATACCCCGTCGTGCATCTCAAAACTTCGTCATCTTGGTGGTTGTATCCAGTACCAATAGTTCAATAAGTCTCAGTCTCTAACCAAGTCGTAGGTCGTTCTTAGGTACAAATCCTACTCAAATCGATAATCGACTTCAACAGGAAGTGTCCATAACTCAGCCCTTAGGCAGAGTTGGGGATTGGCACGACTTGCGATCTATAGCAGTTGTTGGTGCGCGTAGGAAGGAGTCATCACCTGCTTCATTGGCGTACTGTAGTAAAAGTTGTGGCACATCTTCACTCATGGTCTTCAAGGGCTCCCAGGAGTCCTCGATGGTTTCAAGACCAAGCCACTTTACTTTCACCTCATACGCCTGCATGTCTGCGTTCAGTCGATGACCCATGATCGCCTCTACGGCCAACAGTGTCCCTTGAGAGGCAATATGATTGATAAGATCCTCATTCACATTTAGCGAGTCGTCTGCATACAGATTTAGGCGAGATGGGTGCACATCCATTGTTTTTCCACTAACCAAATGTTCCACAGTGAAATAGTAGTCAATACTGCCAACCACGCGGTACGGACCGATCCACATCACTCGTAGCTTGTTCGCATGCAACTTCTCATCGACACGGGAACGTAGGACGTAGTCACCGACCGAGAAGTTTACAGGTTGCTCGTAGTGTGGTCGTAGCCGGTACCGTTTGGCCTGGCGTTGTCGCTCGCCCTTCGCAGACTTGTGCATGTTGCGGATATTTTCTCGTAGTTTGGTGAGTCGCTCTACTGTACTTGGCTTTGGTTGGTTCAGCGTAGCTACACGCCCCTTCCCTCCCGGAAAAAATACCGTGTCCAATGCACTGGGACATGGTAGTCCCGTAAATAACTCAACCGGAGCCCGGTTAGCTAGCGACGGTACCGGTGAGTGGTTTATGCTGGACTGCACCAGCGGAAGTAGGTAGGGCCAGTCATGAAAGCTGACTTTGTACTCCAGTGCCAGTGCCGTCAGTACTTGCAGGATGTCCCGGTTCACGCGCTCCACTGAGCCGTTTTCCAAGGTGAGTATGCTAGCACGAACTCTTGATGACTTTCCAGTCTCCGGCCTAGATCTGCCACCGCCTTGTTCTTAAAATGCGAATCAGAGTCACTAACCCACATCCTAGGCGCTCCAAAGCGACTGTACCAGTCCAGAATGGTACTCGCTGCAACTTCAGATGTAGGGCTATCACAAGCCACCAGCTCTGTGAAGTGGGTTGCCTTGTCCTTCAGGACGAACGTGTAGCGAGAGGTACCAAAAGAGTCACCCAGAGTCAAAAAGTCCCAGTGTAGCGTCTAGTTTCGTTCATAAGTGTAGTGGGTCTCACTAAAAGGTCGGGGGATCACCACCCCTCCCTTCACATGTAGGCAGAGCAGGCATTTCGAGCAGAAGTCCCGTACAATCCTAGTGAGGCCACCAATGTAGAACAACCGGCGTATGTGGTTCTCCATCACATGCATGCCGCAATGTCCATTTCTACCATAGTGAGCAACGATGAGTAGTCTCCGAGTAAGGTCGTGAGCTCCACTTGGTATCCACATCACGTCATTCACGAGCCGCAATTCATCATCACTAAGTGTCGCACCCTTTGGTGCATCGTACAGTGCTTGCACACTTCCGATTTCCTCTATTGTGGGCCATACAAACCCGTCTTGGTCCAGTGGACACAGCGGCGGTGGAGTTGCACTAGCCATCGCACTGCTGCCACGCTTTCGGTTGGCGCGTGTGAACCTCTTCGCTGAATGCATGCGCAATTGGTAGGGGTTTGCCGCCCCACCTCGAGATCAGGTCTGTCCACACGTTGTGAATTCCCTCAATGTGTTCGATTGAGTATCTGTATTACAGTAACTTCGTGGACCAGCGCAGCAATTTCCCCTGGACGTGCTTCTTCAACTCCTTATTTGGAGCGAAGAGATACACGATATTTCGATGGTCACAGTAAAGCTTGAAGTCTTGAGGACGTAGAAGTAGGTACTCTAGTCGTTCGCATGCGTGTACAATTGGATAAGACTCTTTCTCAATGACGCTCCAATTGAGTGCAGAACCTTTGAAGTTCCCACCCATACACACGAGCAGTTCGTGGTGCTGTTCGTGGATGGACACAGTATCCTGCCCTTGGGCCACTTGTGTGACCACAAGTCCCCACCCGTAGTCAGAAGCATCACTCAAAACGCACAGTTGTTTAGTCGGGTCGGGAAATGTGAGCACGGCCGAGTTACCGAGCAGGTCCTTCACAGCGTTGAAACATTTGATCTCAGCTTCAGTCAGATCCAGCTTGATTCCTGCCGCGACACGTTTCGTCTTTTTTGAGCCGACAAGAGAGCTATCAAGTCGTTCCTGTAGTGGTCGTGCCACCTGAGCATAGTCTACAAGCCATGACCTCATCCAGTTGCTCGCACAGAGGAACTGCTGCAACTCTGCAGCAGTCTGCGGCGCATGCATGTCGCGCAGAGCTTGGATTCGCTC